AGCACCAGGAGCACCACCAGGCCCAGCAGCTCCAGTACCTCCAGTACGAGCACCTCCGGGACCCGTGGCTCCAGCACCCCCAGCAGAAGCAGAACCTCCAGTACCGGCTCCAGCAGCACCTCCAGCTCCAGTACTTCCAGCAGCAGCAGAACCTCCAGCACCGGCAGCACCTCCAGCTCCAGCAGCACGGCTCCAGCGGCGAGCAAACCACTCGCGCAGCTCCTGTGGAGAGGGAAGCTCCCGCCGGGACAAAGCACCCGAAGGACCACCAGGTCCAGCACCGGCAGGCTCCACACCCCCACTCCCAGCAACCCCAGGCTCAGCACCCCCAGAAGCAGCACCCCCAGGCTCCGCACGCTCAGGTACAGCACCCCCAGACCCAGCACCCCCAGGCTCCGCACGCGCAGGCTCAGCACCCCCAGACCCAGCACCCCCAGGCTCCGCACGCTCAGGCTCAGCACCCCCAGACGCACCAGAGTCAGCAGCTACCTCGACAGGCTCGACTGCATCTACCTGGGACACACCTGAGGGGGCAGGACCCTGAGGGGGGAGGGAGTCTACCGGGGGGGGACCGGGCGCGAGGAAGAGCGGCGGGGGGGGGAGGGGGGCAGTGCGGTAGGGGAAGAGACGGTAGTACGGAACCGACTCGTCAAACGTGACGTCCTGGGAGGACAGAACACGACGCGAGGTGGGGTGGTAAAACTGCCAACCAGGCGCATCAGGGGGAAAGCCGAGGAAGACGCAAGGAACAGCACGGGAGGACAGCTTGTCCGCAGACAAGTCTCGAACGAAAGCTCGAGATCCCCAGACACGGAACGCAGACGCATCACCAACCTTCCCCGTCCACCGCAGAGTAGGGGAGGTCTCCGGCAGGGAGACCCGGGGCTGAAGGTTGATCTGATGCGCCGCGTACTGAACCGCGAACGGCCACAGAAAATGGGGAGCAGCCGCATGGATCATGGACGTACGAGCGACATCCATGACCATGCCAATGCGGCGCTCAGCAATCCCATTTTGCTGGGGAGAGGCCGGAAGCGTGAACGTCTGGCGGATGCCCTCCGCACGACAGAAAGCTCGCAGAAGGTCGGAGGAAGACTCCCCGCCTCTGTCGGAGTGCAGACGCAGAACAGGAAAGTCCGAGCCGAAACGCTCTCTGAGCTGGAGACGAGCAACGCGGATCCAGTCGATCAACACCTCAGTGACCTCACCCTTGCTGCGCAAGGGGAAGACAGTGGTGTAACGCGAGTAGTCGTCAACCACCAGCAAGAAGTAACGCTCGTGACCCTGTCCACGGACGCGGGCTGGGCCCCACACGTCCATGTGAAGTGTCTGCAGTGGAGCCTCTGTGGGGGGAAACTCGGAGGAGTGAGGAGCGGCGCGCTGCCGCCCCTCGACGCAGGGAACGCAGGTAGGGGCAGGCCCCGGGGGAAGGGGAGGGAGGGACCGGGGGAGACCAGAGACAAGGACACGGGAGGCCATGCCTCGGAGACGAGGCAAGGAGGGGTGACCAAGGCGGTGGTGCCAAAGGAGGGTCTGGTGGGACAGGAGGCGACACGAGCAGGGGGCAGACTCAGGACCTGACCGAGACGCAGCAGCAAACACCTGACTCGACGCAGCTACCTGACCAGACGCAGCAACCGGAGGAGACTCTGTGGTCAGTGTGTACAGGCTCGACCCCGGTCGACGGGTAAACGTGGCCAAGTGGCGGCCCGTCTGAGCACACGTGCAGTGGGTCACTCGCTGACCTGCAGGAGTGAACTGGTCAACACCGGCATCCTGAAGGTCAGCACCACTCACCAAGTTCGTGGAGAACGAGGGGAGGTAGAGACCAGACAGGGAGCCTGACGGGGCCGCCGGACACGGGAGGACAGTGGAGTAGCGAGCAAGGACAGGACCCCCAGAGGGGTCTGCCAGGGAGACCGCAACCGGCCGACTGAGCGGCGTAAGGGTGGTGCGGTCTCGAAAGAAGGAGCGGGAAGCACCCGAGTCGAGGGTGAAGGTGTGAAAGACCTGAGCCGACTCGGTACCTGAGAGAGCAGACTCACCAGCACCTAGAGGAGCAGACTCACGAGTACCTGGAGCAGCAGACTCACTAGCACCTAGAGCAGCAGCCTCAATACCAGGGTCAGGCGGAACACACACGTAACAGTCACCCTCAGCACTAATAGACACAGCATACATGGCAGCAAGAATAGCATCAAAGTCAAGATCAAAGATAGCTACCCCCGACCTGAGCAGATCACTCCAACGAGGGATCTCAGTGGCGTCCGGGAACTGGGCACACCAGGCGTCCGTCAGGCGACCGAAGCAGCGCTGGGTGGCGTGCAGGCCGCCACACTGCTCTCCAGTGCAGTCGCCGCTGCGCAGGACGTAGGTACAGGGACCAGTACCTCCAGACCCCTGGCGCCCCGCGTACCACTCACGAAGCTGCTGGGGTGAAGGGGTCTCACGAGAGCGCTGCTGCTGCTGGGGTCCCCGCTGCACTGCTCCGCCTCTGCTAGCTCCACCTCCGCCACCGCCGCCTCCGCCGCCTCCACCCCTCCCGCCACCGCCACCGCCGCCTCCACCTCCACCGCTGCCTCCAAAGCCCCCACCTCTGCCACCACCCCCACCCCCACCCCCTCCTCCGCCTCCACCGCCACCACCGCCGCCCCCACCACCTCCTCCAGCTCCCTTGCCCCGCTTGCCCTTGCTGATGCGGCGCCTCTCACTAGGAGCAGACGCAGCGCTGACCGACTCGGTGCCAACAAGGTCGACAGCAGCAGCAGAGGCAACAGAGGGCAAAAGAGGAACGGGGGAGCACCCCTCAAAGAAAGGGGTACGGGGGTCACCACGAGAGGCGCCTACAGGGGTAATACTAGTCTCTGCTGCAAGGAGGCGCTCCTCGAGGAGGTCGACAGTGAGGGTGGTAGGGCAAAGAGAGAGGAAGTGGTCCCTGGCAGAGCGGAGAGTGTCAGGGAGTCGAGTGACTAGGTAGTAGAGGGTGATGTACATGGGGGGGGGGTTCTGGGCGCAGATTTCAGCAGGAAGCGCAGCGCGGTACCGAGTGTCACTAGTGCGGAGGTGCATCATGAGGTCAGTGACTGTGGCAAAGGCAGCGAGGTCAGGGAACAGGTACGGTAGCATGAGGCGGCTGAGCACAGCAGTGGCAGGGGAAGAGTAGCGTGCAACTACAGCGTCGTACAGAGTCTTAGCACTCTTGTACTGACTAAAGTGCGCGCGCTCAGTAGACGGTAGGTGACTGCGCACAGCAAGGCGGGCAGCAGCATCGCGCGTGAGCCACTGCGAGCGAACGGTACTGTCAGCATCAGCAGCAGGGGCAGTAGAGGCGCCCGACGTAAGGTCAAACAGGGAGAGGCCATCCTTGCTATCGCACTGAAGGAAAAGCTGCAGATCATCTAGCCAGACATCAAAGGCAACCGCTCGACCCTCAGCATCAAAGGTGAGAAGACTAGGACTAGCCATGATAGGAGCAGCAGCAGACTAGCAGCGGCAGCAGTGCAACTGAGCTAGGCAGGACAGTGCGACTCGGCAGCGCAGTGGGGCTCGGCCGCGCGGCTCGGCCCGGCTAGGCTCTTACCAGGGGCGGAGCCGACAGGTTCGGGACTGGGTCGGGGCCGGAACAGGGCCGGGACAGGGTCGGGGCCGAGCAGAGTCCGGGACGGGGCAGGGGCAGGTCCGGGACAGGGTCGGGGCCGAGCAGGGTCCGGGACGGAGCAGCAACGGGGCCGGGACAGGGTCGGGGCCGGGGCAGGTCCGGGACGGGGTCGGAGCCGGGGCAGGTCCGGGACAGAGTCGAGGCGGCGGGGCCGCGTAGGGGCCGCGTCAGGGACAGGGCCGGGCCGGGCCGTTTTAGGGGCTGCGTAGGGGCCGCGTCAGGGGCGGCGTAGGGGCCGCGTCAGGGGCGGCGTAGGGGCCGCGTAGGGGCGGCGTAGGGGCCGCGTCAGGGGCGGCGTAGGGGCCGCGTCAGGGGCGGCTTAGGGGCCGCGTCAGGGGCGGCGTAGGGGCCGCGTCAGGGGCGGCGTAGGGGCCGCGTCAGGGGCGGCGTAGGAGCCGCGGCAGGGGCGGCGTAGGGGCCGCGTCAGGGGCGGCGTAGGGGCCGCGTAGGGGCGGCGTAGGGGCCGCGTCAGGGGCGGCGCAGGGGCCGCGTCAGGGGCGGCTTAGGGGCCGCGTCAGGGGCGGCGTAGGGGCCGCGTCAGGGGCGGCGTAGGGGCCGCGTCAGGGGCGGCGTAGGGGCCGCGTAGGGGCGGCGTAGGGGCCGCGTCAGGGGCGGCGTAGGGGCCGCGTCAGGGGCGGCTTAGGGGCCGCGTCAGGGGCGGATTAGGGGCCGCGCAGGGGGCCACGTAGGGGCCGGGTAGGGGCCGCGTAGGGGCCGCGTAGGAATCGCGTAGGGGCAGCTAGGGGGCCGCGAAAAAATTTTAGGGCAGGGCGCGACGCGCTTCGGGCAGCTAAAAAAAATGTTACTTATGGTGGGCCCTTAGGAAGGAACGGTCCCATGTGGGAACCCGCTCTATACCATGTGAAATAAAGAAACAGGAATGGATGAACTAGGAAAGTGTGAGATACAAATATGAAAGCTGTACCCCTTGGTGTCTACCCCACTACAGCCTACATAGGCTAAGGCATATATATCTGACACTTATAATAGGCCTGCGGTTATATCCGGGGCGATACGGTATGTGAAGATTTCTACACTTCTGGAAGAAATGAATGGCACATTACAACCGTCACTTTGTTTACTTTGTGCAAGCTGCTCAATAACAGTGCATGCTGTACGGTATGTCCCTCTTCCAACTCCATCATGTAAAAATGTTTTGGGTGTACCTTTTTGAGGCTACCCAATATGATCTACTGGCGGGAGGGCAAGATTGGTCCTGCTTTTAGACGTAAACCACTACCCCCGAGACGGGCGGCCTATAACGTTCTTCCAGACGATATTAACCCAAATTCTAGATTTTGCACAATTGAAGGAATCACTGTGTACATCCATGCTCAAGCACCTACTCGTCCATGTCAGCGACATGCGGGCCCACAAAGTCAAGAGAGTCAAAGAGGTCCGCATTGAGCCAGACCTGCCTGTTGCGCGGCATGGGCCCCTTGACACAGAAGAAGGTGCAGGGGGGCTGCTTCACCCGCGCCACCTCCTTATCCGCACACACCGGCGGCCACCCCGCCTCCGGCCTCACAATCTCACTCTCCTCCTGTGCCAACCGCATGCGCTCTTTAGCGGGCGGCGCCGGGCATGTGGAGACGACGTCCGGGCGGGTGACTGCGGAGGGGTCTTCCAGGGCCTGGGCGGCGTACTTCACGAGGAGGACCGCCCAGTAGAGCGTGCGGCCCTCCAGGGAGCACCCCCACCTAGTGGGAGGGGGGAAGGTGGAGCGGGAGAGGGGGTTGGAGATTTGGAGGGTGTGAGTTAGGAGAGAAGAGTGTGTGCTGCGTGAGGAGCGGGGGCTCGTGCGGAGTTTTCCAAATGGATTTGAGACGATAACTTGGCTGAAAAAAAATGACGCGAGAAGCAGCAGAACACATACGGGCCTTGTTTGAAAGTGCTCAGAGATCTCGCGCTTGGGCAATCACATTCACAGTGAATCTGTTTTTTGAGAATTCTCAACAACACAGATTCACCTTGTTTGAAAGTTGTCAGAGATCTCGCCCTCGCCCTGGAGCACTCACATTCACATTTACCTGCTGACCTGACGTGGTGCACCGTTGACTATCATGTGGTATGCTTGGACGTCGGGGTGGTGCACCCACTTTACTCAAAGAGAGCCATGCCTTGCATGCAGTGACAGCAGGCCTACATGCGGTAACCTTGCACTGGCCTACAGCACACTGGGAACAGCGGGCCTACCTGGCAACGCAGTGGGCGTTGGCAATCATGAGGCGTACTTGCTGGTCGTGCTGCCGCGCCCACTCCACGCGGTCGAAGAGGACTTCAAAGGAAGTGGGAAGCAGGCAAGCTCACTCACTTGGCAACACGGTGCGCGTTGGCAATCATGTGCCGCACATGCTGGTCGTGCTGTCTTGCCCACTCGATGCGGTCAAAGAGGTCCCTAAAGAAGTGGTCCGTGGGGATGAAGTGCCGCCACGGCTGCAGCAGAACTCACCTTGCAACGCAGTACTGCCACGGCTGTAGCACAGTGGGGAGAACAACGCAGCGATGCTCACCTGGCGACACGGTGGGCGTTGGCAATCATCTGTCACATTTGGGCATCGTGCTGCCGGGCCCACTCGACGCGGTCAAAGAGGTCTCCAAAGAAGTGAAAAGCAGCAGTGATTCGCAGCACAGTGCGGGAAGCAGGCAGTGCCACTCACCTGGCGACGCGGTGGGCGTTGGCGATCATGTGTTGCACTTGGGCATCGTGCTGCCGGGCCCACTCGACGCGGTCAAAGAGGTCTCCAAAGAAGTGGTCTGTGGGGATGAAGTGCCGCCACGGCTGCAGCAGCGGCTGGTAGAACTGCGCAAAAGGCGTGTCCTGTCGGATCATAGCCTGATAGAGGGAGTGTAATGGTGCAATGCAAACAAGGCGGAGGACGGAGAGGCCTTTAAACTGGCTCGAAAATCACCCACTCTACCCAGGGGTGCAACAGAGACTGGTCAAAAGTGAGCCAAGGGTGTGTTGGGGCAGCAAGGGCACAATTTGGTGAAACAATGGAGATAGCACACATGGCAGCAAACTCACCTGGTCGCTACCTTAAGAGTCAACACACATGGCAATGGGATCACCTGGTCACTCCCAAGCACACCGCAGGTGCGGCAGGAGCCAGCGCCGCCGTCCACCACAACCTCGTACTTGAAGCGCTGCGACTCCGCCTTCTCCATCTTGGCCGCCTCGCTCAACCCGTCACCCATCGCCCTGCATGCATGCCATGTCACACACATGCACACATGCAGTGCAGGTGATGCAAGTCTGGCTTGGTCAGCCCACCACTCATCGCCCTGTCAGGTGATGCTTCGAAGCCCGTCAGGAGCGTAGACCATAGAGCCACTCATGGTAGCATCTAACTGAGCCAAATGGGACGACGTCACGACGGTAGCACATATAGACCACATGTAGATGCTTCATGATTCACATGTTGCAGGTCTCACATGCTCCTCATTTCACAGGTTCCGGTTCTAAAATGAATATGAGCTCTCACATGTTACCGCTCCCACATCTATCCTGTCTCACATGTTGCGTGTCTTGTCATCCACGAGCAGGCGCATGACTCGAGCATCCAGAAGATCCGGGCGCGCATCTGTCATTCTGTCACACATGCAGCCCGCCCCTGCACCTACCCCAACGACCACCCACCCCAACGACCACCCACCCCAACGACCACCCACCCCAACGACCACCCACCTCAGTCACACCCACCCACCCCAATGGCACCCACCCGAATCACAACCACCCCAGTGAAACCCATCCCACTGACACCCCACCCAAATGCCATCCCAGCCCAGTCACCCACACCCGTTCACCCAGTCCACCCATTCACCCAGAGTTGAGCATAAGAACATCCAGAGGGTAACAACATGCGCACATGGGATAGGATTGTGAGAGAGGGAGGAACGAAAGAGGCAGAGAGTGCAGGAGGGGAGAGCACAGGGGGGCTGAACAGTTGAGTTTAAGAAGGAACACGAGTAAGCAAGCATGGGCGGACAAGGGCAAGGCATTGCGGGCGTGGGCGGGTGTGGGCGGGTGTGGGTGGGTGTGGGGCGCGTGTGGGTGGGCATGGGCAGGCGTGGGAGCGGGTGGACGGGCGTGAACGGGCGAGTGTTGCGAGGCATGGGAGGGGCGTCTGACCGGTGGAGGCGGTAGCGCGGGCTGACCCGCCAGCGGTGGTCGGGGCCCAGCTTGAAGTTGGTGAACCCGCCCCTGAACACCGCCCTGCTCGCCTTCTGCTCCCACGGCGTCTGAGACAGGGGAGGGGGGCGGCGGGGAGGAGGGAGGAGGGGAGGGGACTATGTGAACGAGTTGGACGGGGAGCAGCAGTGAGTAAGAGGAAAGGACTATGTCACTATGTGAACGAGGTGGACGGGGAGCAGCAGTGAGTAAGAGGAAAGGACTATGTCACTATGTGAACGAGGTGGACGGGGAGCAGCAGTGAGTAAGAGGAAAGGACTATGTCACTATGTGAACGAGGTGGACGGGGAGCAGCAGTGAGTAAGAGGAAAGGACTATGTCACTATGTGAACGAGGTGGACGGGGAGCAGCAGTGAGTAAGAGGAAAGGACTATGTCACTATGTGAACAGGCCTCACCACCCCTTACCTCGCCGTCCTGCCTCCCACCCCTCACCTTGCCATCCCTCCCTCACCTTGGCGTCCTTGCCCGCCTGGTAGCTCTCCATCATCTCAAGCGGGTCAGGCACAATAATATCCAGAGTGCCCGGCAGCCACTCCGTGCTCAAGATGGGCCATCCCACAAAAGATAAAACTGCCTGCCACCCTACCTACCAACCCTCACCTTGGCGTCCTTCCCAGCCTGGTAGCTCTCCGAAAGGTCCAGCGGGTCAGGCACGATGATGTCCAGCGTGCCCGGCAGCCACTCCGTGCTGAAGACCGGCCTTCCCCCCAAGATCAAACTGCCACCCTACCAACCACCCCTCATCAACCACCCCTCACCTTGGCATCCTTCCCAGCCTGATAGCTTTCGGAAAGGTCAAGCGGGTCAGGCACAATAATATCCAGCGTGCCCGGCAGCCACTCCGTGCTGAAAATCGGCCGTCCGCCAAAGATCCCACTCAGCGAGCTGTCGAAGCTCTTGGGGAGGTCGCAGGTGGAGAGGAAGAACTCGGCGCGCAGGGCGAGCAGGGAGAACTGGCGCAGGGCGGCGACGATGAGCTTGACGGACTGCACGAAGCGGTGCAGGCGGTCCCACTGGTAGTGGAAGCCACCGTAGCGGAAGAAGACTTGCCCGTCCACTATGCGGATGTGGCCTGAGCATGACATGAACTGGTAGGTGGTGCGGGGACCAAGGGTGGGGAGGGATGGGAAAAACGACGGGTTGTTGAGGTGTGGGCTAAAGGCGGTCCCACTGGTAGTGGAAGCCCCCCCCACGAAAGAATAACTGCCCATCGATGATCCGGATGTGGCCCTAGCACGACAGGAGCTGACGGGTGATGGGGGAACAAAGGATGGGAAGGGAGGGGGAAAAGGAAGGGCTGTTGAGATGGGCTGAAAGGCGGGACGGAAGAAAACTTGCCGTGTGGAGTGGAGGTGCCCTGAACATGACATTAACTGCCGTGTGCGAAGGAGTTTATCTAACAAGGGAAGGGGGAAAGGAGTAAAATAGTTCGCAGGCGCTTGAATAATAGGAGGGGACGTGAGAAATAGGTGAGAGAGGGGTGCAAAAAGCACATTCCTGACAGGTTTCAAGAAGCAGGGCTCACCCCGGGTTCAGACGCCACGTATTGCAGCATCGCGTGTGAGATGATGCCACGTGGCTCCTCCTCCACCTCCTCCCCTCCTCCACCCCCCTTCTTCACCAGGCGAGAGCCCATCCAGGGGCGAAGGTAGGTGTCAGCGATGCAGGCAAAGCGCCTGACCGCCTCGTCGGAGCGGTTGAGCTTGGGGAACGCCGCGAGCTGCCGCGTGCAGTCTGGTAGCGACGCCAGGTCGCCCTGAGTGGGTAGCACCTGCCCGAACGGCACCGCCTGCTGCGGCGGCTGCTGCTCCTCTTCCTGCTGCTGCTGCTGCTGTGACGGCGTTAGGTCTGACTGCTTGTTCTCGCTAGAGGTGCTCTTGCCAGGCGAAGTGGCAGTGTCGCTGGAGCCAGCAGCAGAGGACTGTTTGGTTTCAGGCGATGGAGATAAAGATGCGGAAATCGCTGACGAGGTGTCAGCAGCATCGCTGGATGAGTCAGCAGCATCGCTGGATGAGTCAGCCGGCACGGTCTGGCGCAGGAAGCTGGGACCGTTGGAGGAGGCGGTCCACGCGGCGGCGCTCTCTCGCTGCAGGCGACTGCCGGGACTCTCGTCCATCTGCGCAGACCGATCCCGCATCAGCCGACATAAATCACCGCACATCATGCGGAGCTTCTGTGTAGTTATTAGAATGAAACATGCACGCATTCGCACAAACGCATGCACGCATTCGGACTAACGGATGCACGAATGGGAAAGTGGAAAGCACGACGGCATAAGGAATGAAGGCGTACCAGCGAGGCGGTGAACACGGCGAGTCGTCGTCTGTAAGTCGCGGTGTTGCTTGTAGCCGACCGTGATAACGTGGCGAGAACGATCAGCAAAAGCAACGAAACGGTAGCAATCGGAAGTTTCGTCATTCTGACGTCAGTTTAGGAACAACGGCTGGAAACTGTCTGAGCAACGAAGCTGGTGAGATATCATCCCTGCTTTCAGACTCTAAGCGCAAAGGTTAGAAAGTAAAATGCTGATCAGGTCATAAATATTTATGGTTAGATAGGGTTCCCATCACCTTGGGAGTGCGGTCATTGAGGCAACAAGCTGACCATATGTCAGGTCTAAAATCACGGTCTCCTACGATTCGGAACTAGTAATAATACCTGAGGACTTCAGGCCATCTGAACTGAACTCATCGGAAGATGACAGTGATCAGTTCAGTGGTAGCCTGGTGGGTAGGCCATCTGACAGCAGGAGGGAAAATCAGGGACAGTGAGGTGGAGAAGGGTAGAGTGCAATTGCGTGCGGTGCGCAGTGCATCGAGAAGTCAGTGGAATGGAGTGTGGAAAGCCTGGTGTGCAATTGCGTGCGGTGCGCAGTGCATCGAGAAGTCAGTGGAATGGAGTGTGGAAAGCCTGGTGTGGTTGGTTGGTTGGATAAGGAGAGTCCGTGAATTGTGATAAGCTGCTGACCACCTCCGCACGTCAGCGGGGAAAAACTGTCGTCGCTTAAAACCGCATCGCAACTACTCGTGTGACGTTTATGGTTGTAGGCCTTGGGAAAACCGTACAGGTATTCTGCGGTATGCCAGGTCCTTGCAAAAGGCCATGCGAAGAGTGGTAACAATTCGTTCACTGTCGTGGAAAATTCATCCATCCATCCCACCAAGCCCAAGCTGGTCAGCTCCTGTCCTTCATGCCAATGTTCTGCAGATCTCGCTATCACCATTCTGTCAAACCCTCCTCTAGCTTCCGCTCTTCTCAAACTCTTACATCTCCGCTTGTCACGCTCTCTGAGTAGTATATTTAGATTCTTCGGTTTCTTCTTCCCTTTAAGATCGTCTAGTAATGGCCGAATCCGCGTCGAAGGTCATTCACGTGCGCAATGTGCCATCTGAGGCCACGGAGGTGAGGGTTTCGAAATATAGCACGTTCCAGATCTGCGGTGTTTTTAGTAATTCACTGTATTTTTTTGCTCTTTCCACTTATCTATTCGTCTCGATTATTCTTTCCGCAGCTCGATGTGCAGCAACTGGCGCAGAACTTCGGACCTGTTCAGAGGGTCGTCGTCATGAGAGCCAAGAACCAGGTTTGATTGTTCACCCACTTAGTCTTCTTATCGTGTGCCTCTCATCTTTCGCGGTTGATTCTTAATTTCCCTCATTTTTTATTTTTATTCCATTATTTCGATATTTCTTGCAGGCCCTCATTGAGATGCAGGACATTGCAGCTGCGATCAACATGATCCAATTCTACACTGGCGTGCAGGCCTCCATCAAGTAATAAATACTGTTCCAATGTTTCATCTGTGGCACTATTGATTCAGTTCATCGTGCCTGTCGATTGCCTATGGGATGTAATTGTTTAACCTCTAACGATGTAACCGTGTGCAGGGGGAGGAACGTGTACTGCCAGTTCTCCTCGCATCAGGTCCTCACGCCCAACGAGAATCCGGGCAGGACGCACCAGGAGGTACGTGAAATTTGGTCCACGGAGGAATGCTGGAGTCGCGACGGGTCAAGCAATAGCGGGGACTGTTCGTATCACGGAGAGCAGGCTAGCCGTTCGACAACAATTAATTACGGATCGGCCGTTCCTATTCCTCTTCCTCCTCACTGCTCTCGTTCTTTTCCATACCTTCCCTGTACCTTTCTCCGCCTTTCTGCATCTTTCTCCGCCTTTCCACCTTCTCTGCCGTTCTCTCTCATCCGTTCTTCAGATCTTACCCTCTCCCTCTCTCTCCCCTCCTCTCTCCTCCTCTCTCCCCTCTCCTCCCCTCCGCTCCCTCTCCCCGTTCCTCTCTCGTTTCCCCAGGGTGCCCCTAACCGCATAATCCTAGTCACAATCCACAACCCGCTCTATCCCATCAACGTGGATGTGCTTCACCAAGTCTTTTCTCCCCATGGCTTTGTTGAGAAGATCGTCACTTTCCAGAAAGCTGCTGGTCCGACCTCCCTCTCCCTTCCCGTCCCTCTCCCTCTCTCTCGCTCTTGCGCTCTTTGCCTGTCTCCTGCTCCTTCCGCTCCTTCCTTTCCTTCTGCTCCCTCTCGTCTGCTCTCACCACGGCCTGTGCACCCCCGGGGGTGTCGGTACGTCGGTCCTCATCCGGCGTAGTGAGGGGTCAGGCTGTCCCCTCACTCGCGGGAAACTCGACCGCCGATCGTATTGTTCTCATCCGCGGCCTTTGCTGCTCCCTCCCCGTGCTGCCTCGCGCGCTGCTCCCCTTTCCCACGTTTCCCGTCCCCCGGTGCTGCGCGGAGCAGGGCTGCAGGCGCTGGTGCAGTACAACAACCAGGCGAGTGCGGCCGCCGCCAAGACCAACCTGCAGGGCCGCAACATCTACGACGGCTGCTGCACGCTCGACATCCAGTTCTCCAAGTACGTCTCGCCTCATTAGCTGCTCTGTCGAGAGATTTCAAAGACCGTCTACGATGGCTGCTGCATGCTCGACATCCAGTACTCCAAGTACGACCCCTTGTCCCTATACCACCCGCCTGGCCACCTGGTTTCTGAGATTTATTGAAACCAAGTCTTCTCCTTAGCAGTAGGACTCGCTTTGCCAGTGGTTTTGAAAATGACCAAATTAATTAGGACCCGTAGCACTCTGACAACCGATCTAAGCTTCATCACTCGCATCCCGCATAGCTTTCCGTCGAGCATGCGTGCAGCTCGGGCATTTGCAATTCTCATAGCAACCGTCTGCTGGATCCTCGTCTTCGTGTTGGTGTGTGTGCTTGCGCGCGTGTGAATGGTGTGGTGGTGGCGGTGCTGCTGGTGCTGTTGGTGCTGCTGGTGCTGCTGGTGCTGGGCATGGTGCGTGTGTGTGTGCGGTGCAGTCTGACGGAGTTGCAGGTGCATTACAACAACGAGCGCACCAGGGACTATGTCAACCAGCTGCCGGATCAGCCCGGCAAGGCGCCCGGTGGTATGATGGTAAGCACACAATTTCTAGCACATTATTTGCTCTCTCAGGTTACACCACCAGCCTCCGTTTGTGAAACTAACTCGTGTTTTTTTTTTTTTTTTTTTTTTTGCGTGTTTCTTTGTTTTTTTCGCCCTTTTTCCCCCATTTGCAGCAGACGTCACTGTTTGGCGAGGGTGGGAATGTGTATGGCGCCATGCCTGGGCAACGGCCGGGTGTGTTCCCCGGACAGATGGGGCAGATGGGGCAGATGGGGCAGATGGGCCAGATGGGGCAGCCGGGCATGCCGCAGCCTGGCATGGGCGGCCTCAACGCCTACGGGGTGAGCCCTTTTGCCTTCTGCGTGTATTGATCGTTCAGCTGCTGCTTGATTGTGCCTTTCCTGCTGCTGCTGCCGCCGCCACTGCTGCTGTTGCCATTTCTGCTGGGTCTATGTCATTGACGGGTGCCTTTCTCTACATGCAGAACCCCGGCATGGCAGCAGCAGCGGCAGCTCAGATGTTTGGGGGCAACCTCCCTCCTGGTGTGACGGGCACCAACGACCGCTGCACTCTGCTCATCTCCAACATCCACCATGAGGTGCGCCGCTCATGTCATGCGTGGCATGCTGACATGATTTCGAGAGTCGCTGCTGCAACCGTGCACACGGTTGCCGTTGCCTAATTCCAAATAATCCCCTTACCATGCCCTACCCTTGCCATGGACGAGCCTTGCACTTTCCACACACAACCCGTTGTCTTATCCGCACCCCCCTCATCTCCCCATGGATTCACCTCCCAGGTGGTGGACGCGGACAAGCTGTTCAACCTGGTGTCCAACTACGGCAATGTGGTGCGGATCAAGTTCCTTCACAACAAGCCTGACCATGCGCTCGTGCAGCTCGCCGATGGGCTTCAGGCAGAGCTTGCTGTCACTTATCTCAAGGTATGTCTTGTGCTGGTGTGTGTGCTGTATGCTCTGTCTGTGTGGCGCCACGTGGTGAGCATCAAGTTCCTTTACAACAAGCCTGACCATGCGCTCGTGCAGCTCGCCGATGGGCTTCAGACAGAGCTTGCTGTCACTTATCTCAAGGTATGTCTTGTGCTGGTGTGTGTGCTGTATGCTCTGTCTGTGTGGCGCCACGTGGTGAGCATCAAGTTCCTTCACAACAAGCCTGACCATGCGCTCGTGCAGCTCGCCGATGGGCTTCAGGCAGAGCTTGCTGTCACTTATCTCAAGGTATGTCTTGTGCTGGTGTGTGTGCTGTATGCTCTGTCTGTGTGGCGCCACGTGGTGAGCATCAAGTTCCTTTACAACAAGCCTGACCATGCGCTCGTGCAGCTCGCCGATGGGCTTCAGACAGAGCTTGCTGTCACTTATCTCAAGGTATGTCTTGTGCTGGTGTGTGTGCTGTATGCTCTGTCTGTGTGGCGCCACGTGGTGAGCATCAAGTTCCTTCACAACAAGCCTGACCATGCGCTCGTGCAGCTCGCCGATGAGCTTCAGGCAGAGCTTGCTGTCACTTATCTCAAGGTATGTCTTGTGCTGGTGTGTGTGCTGTATGCTCTGTCTGTGTGGCGCCACGTGGTGAGCATCAAGTTCCTTCACAACAAGCCTGACCACGTGCTCGTGCAGCTCGCCGATGAGCTTCAGGCAGAGCTTGCTGTCACTTATCTCAAGGTATGTCTTGTGCTGGTGTGTGTGCTGTATGCTCTGTCTGTGTGGCGCCACGTGGTGAGCATCAAGTTCCTTCACAACAAGCCTGACCATGCGCTCGTGCAGCTCGCCGATGAGCTTCAGGCAGAGCTTGCTGTCACTTATCTCAAGGTATGTCTTGTGCTGGTGTGTGTGCTGTATGCTCTGTCTGTGTGGCGCCACGTGGTGAGCATCAAGTTCCTTTACAACAAGCCTGACCATGCGCTCGTGCAGCTCGCCGATGGGCTTCAGGCAGAGCTTGCTGTCACTTATCTCAAGGTATGTCTTGTGCTGGTGTGTGTGCTGTATGCTCTGTCTGTGTGGCGCCACGTGGTGAGCATCAAGTTCCTTTACAACAAGCCTGACCATGCGCTCGTGCAGCTCGCCGATGGGCTTCAGGCAGAGCTTGCTGTCACTTATCTCAAGGTATGTCTTGTGCTGGTGTGTGTGCTGTATGCTCTGTCTGTGTGGCGCCACGTGGTGAGCATCAAGTTCCTTTACAACAAGCCTGACCATGCGCTCGTGCAGCTCGCCGATGGGCTTCAGGCAGAGCTTGCTGTCACTTATCTCAAGGTATATCTTGTGCTGGTGTGTGTGCTGTATGCTCTGTCTGTGTGGCGCCACGTGGTGAGCATCAAGTTCCTTTACAACAAGCCTGACCATGCGCTCGTGCAGCTCGCCGATGGGCTTCAGACAGAGCTTGCTGTCACTTATCTCAAGGTATGTCTTGTGCTGGTGTGTGTGCTGTATGCTCTGTCTGTGTGGCGCCACGTGGTGAGCATCAAGTTCCTTCACAACAAGCCTGACCATGCGCTCGTGCAGCTCGCCGATGGGCTTCAGGCAGAGCTTGCTGTCACTTATCTCAAGGTATGTCTTGTGCTGGTGTGTGTGCTGTATGCTCTGTCTGTGTGGCGCCACGTGGTGAGCATCAAGTTCCTTTACAACAAGCCTGACCATGCGCTCGTGCAGCTCGCCGATGGGCTTCAGGCAGAGCTTGCTGTCACTTATCTCAAGGTATGTCTTGTGCTGGTGTGTGTGCTGTATGCTCTGTCTGTGTGGCGCCACGTGGTGAGCATCAAGTTCCTTTACAACAAGCCTGACCATGCGCTCGTGCAGCTCGCCGATGGGCTTCAGACAGAGCTTGCTGTCACTTATCTCAAGGTATGTCTTGTGCTGGTGTGTGTGCTGTATGCTCTGTCTGTGTGGCGCCACGTGGTGAGCATCAAGTTCCTTCACAACAAGCCTGACCATGCGCTCGTGCAGCTCGCCGATGAGCTTCAGGCAGAGCTTGCTGTCACTTATCTCAAGGTATGTCTTGTGCTGGTGTGTGTGCTGTATGCTCTGTCTATGTGGCGCCACGTGGTGAGCATCAAGTTCCTTCACAACAAGCCTGACCATGCGCTCGTGCAGCTCGCCGATGGGCTTCAGGCAGAGCTTGCTGTCACTTATCTCAAGGTATGTCTTGTGCTGGTGTGTGTGCTGTATGCTCTGTCTGTGTGGCGCCACGTGGTGAGCATCAAGTTCCTTTACAACAAGCCTGACCATGCGCTCGTGCAGCTCGCCGATGGGCTTCAGACAGAGCTTGCTGTCACTTATCTCAAGGTATGTCTTGTGCTGGTGTGTGTGCTGTATGCTCTGTCTGTGTGGCGCCACGTGGTGAGCATCAAGTTCCTTCACAACAAACCTGACCATGCGCTCGTGCAGCTCGCCGATGGGCTTCAGGCAGAGCTTGCTGTCACTTATCTCAAGGTATGTCTTGTGCTGGTGTGTGTGCTGTATGCTCTGTCTGTGTGGCGCCACGTGGTGAGCATCAAGTTCCTTTACAACAAGCCTGACCATGCGCTCGTGCAGCTCGCCGATGGGCTTCAGGCAGAGCTTGCTGTCACTTATCTCAAGGTATGTCTTGTGCTGGTGTGTGTGCTGTATGCTCTGTCTGTGTGGCGCCACATGGTGAGCATCAAGTTCCTTTACAACAAGCCTGACCATGCGCTCGTGCAGCTCGCCGATGGGCTTCAGACAGAGCTTGCTGTCACTTATCTCAAGGTATGTCTTGTGCTGGTGTGTGTGCTGTATGCTCTGTCTGTGTGGCGCCACGTGGTGAGCATCAAGTTCCTTCACAACAAGCCTGACCATGCGCTCGTGCAGCTCGCCGATGAGCTTCAGGCAGAGCTTGCTGTCACTTATCTCAAGGTATGTCTTGTGCTGGTGTGTGTGCTGTATGCTCTGTCTATGTGGCGCCACGTGGTGAGCATCAAGTTCCTTCACAACAAGCCTGACCATGCGCTCGTGCAGCTCGCCGATGGGCTTCAGGCAGAGCTTGCTGTCACTTATCTCAAGGTATGTCTTGTGCTGGTGTGTGTGCTGTATGCTCTGTCTGTGTGGCGCCACGTGGTGAGCATCAAGTTCCTTTACAACAAGCCTGACCATGCGCTCGTGCAGCTCGCCGATGGGCTTCAGACAGAGCTTGCTGTCACTTATCTCAAGGTATGTCTTGTGCTGGTGTGTGTGCTGTATGCTCTGTCTGTGTGGCGCCACGTGGTGAGCATCAAGTTCCTTCACAACAAGCCTGACCATGCGCTCGTGCAGCTCGCCGATGAGCTTCAGGCAGAGCTTGCTGTCACTTATCTCAAGGTATGTCTTGTGCTGGTGTGTGTGCTGTATGCTCTGTCTGTGTGGCGCCACGTGGTGAGCATCAAGTTCCTTCACAACAAGCCTGACCATGCGCTCGTGCAGCTCGCCGATGGGCTTCAGGCAGAGCTTGCTGTCACTTATCTCAAGGTATGTCTTGTGCTGGTGTGTGTGCTGTATGCTCTGTCTGTGTGGCGCCACGTGGTGAGCATCAAGTTCCTTTACAACAAGCCTGACCATGCGCTCGTGCAGCTCGCCGATGGGCTTCAGGCAGAGCTTGCTGTCACTTATCTCAAGGTATGTCTTGTGCTGGTGTGTGTGCTGTATGCTCTGTCTGTGTGGCGCCACGTGGTGAGCATCAAGTTCCTTTACAACAAGCCTGACCATGCGCTCGTGCAGCTCGCCGATGGGCTTCAGACAGAGCTTGCTGTCACTTATCTCAAGGTATGTCTTGTGCTGGTGTGTGTGCTGTATGCTCTGTCTGTGTGGCGCCACGTGGTGAGCATCAAGTTCCTTCACAACAAGCCTGACCATGCGCTCGTGCAGCTCGCCGATGAGCTTCAGGCAGAGCTTGCTGTCACTTATCTCAAGGTATGTCTTGTGCTGGTGTGTGTGCTGTATGCTCTGTCTATGTGGCGCCACGTGGTGAGCATCAAGTTCCTTCACAACAAGCCTGACCATGCGCTCGTGCAGCTCGCCGATGGGCTTCAGGCAGAGCTTGCTGTCACTTATCTCAAGGTATGTCTTGTGCTGGTGTGTGTGCTGTATGCTCTGTCTGTGTGGCGCCACGTGGTGAGCATCAAGTTCCTTTACAACAAGCCTGACCATGCGCTCGTGCAGCTCGCCGATGGGCTTCAGGCAGAGCTTGCTGTCACTTATCTCAAGGTATGTCTTGTGCTGGTGTGTGTGCTGTATGCTCTGTCTGTGTGGCGCCACGTGGTGAGCATCAAGTTCCTTTACAACAAGCCTGACCATGCGCTCGTGCAGCTCGCCGATGGGCTTCAGACAGAGCTTGCTGTCACTTATCTCAAGGTATGTCTTGTGCTGGTGTGTGTGCTGTATGCTCTGTCTGTGTGGCGCCACGTGGTGAGCATCAAGTTCCTTCACAACAAGCCTGACCATGCGCTCGTGCAGCTCGCCGATGAGCTTCAGGCAGAGCTTGCTGTCACTTATCTCAAGGTATGTCTTGTGCTGGTGTGTGTGCTGTATGCTCTGTCTGTGTGGCGCCACGTGGTGAGCATCAAGTTCCTTCACAACAAGCCTGACCATGCGCTCGTGCAGCTCGCCGATGGGCTTCAGGCAGAGCTTGCTGTCACTTATCTCAAGGTATGTCTTGTGCTGGTGTGTGTGCTGTATGCTCTGTCTGTGTGGCGCCACGTGGTGAGCATCAAGTTCCTTCACAACAAGCCTGACCATGCGCTCGTGCAGCTCACCGATGAGCTTCAGGCAGAGCTTGCTGTCACTTATCTCAAGGTATGTCTTGTGCTGGTGTGTGTGCTGTATGCTCTGTCTGTGTGGCGCCACGTGGTGAGCATCAAGTTCCTTCACAACAAGCCTGACCATGCGCTCGTGCAGCTCGCCGATGGGCTTCAGGCAGAGCTTGCTGTCACTTATCTCAAGGTATGTCTTGTGCTGGTGTGTGTGCTGTATGCTCTGTCTGTGTGGCGCCACGTGGTGAGCATCAAGTTCCTTCACAACAAGCCTGACCACGTGCTCGTGCAGCTCGCTGGCGGGCTTCAGGCAGAGCTCGCCGTCACCTACCTCAAGGTATGTTGCTGCCCGCTTGCCGTGGAGCGCCATGCGCTGATGTATGTACTGTATGATGTGTCTGTGTCTGTGTCTGTCTGTGTCTGTGTCTGTGTGGCGCCGTGTGGAGAGCATCAAGTTCCTTCGCAACAAGACCAACCATGCGCGCGTGCAGCTTGCTGACGGGCTGCAGGCAGACCTCGCTGCTACCTACCTCAAGGTATGCCGTATGCTGCCCTCTATGTGCTGCCATGGGCCTGCCGTGTGCTCGTGCATGCTGTTTGTGTGGCGCGATGGGGTGATCAAGTTCCTCGTCCCAACTCTTTTCACCCCTCCCCTCTTACCAGGGCGCAGCTGTGTTTGGCAAGCGGCTGGAGGTGAACTATTCCAAGTACCCGTCCATCAACCCGTCGGCCGACATGAAAGACTACTCCACCTCCAACCAGACTCTCCCGTATTTCCCCCCTTCTCTTCCTTTTTTTTGACAGGGCGCCACTGTCTTCGGCAAGCGACTGGAGGTGAATTATACCAAGTACCCGTCCATCAACCCAAGGACTACTCCACCGCCAACCTGAACCTCCTGTGTTTCCCTCTTTCTCATCACTCCCCTCTTGTGAACAGGGCGCCGCCGTGTTTGGCAAGCGCCTGGAGGTGAACTATTCCAAGTACCCGCCCACCAACCCATCGGCCGACACCTAAGACTACTCCACGTCCAACTCCCAAGGGGTGCTCTGGAATCACCCTCCTGTGTTCCTCTGTTTCCCCTTGTCACTCTCCCCTCCCATTTCCTCTAAGCAGGGTGCTGCCGTGTTTGGGAAGCGGCTGGAGGTGAATTACTCCAAGTACCCATCCATCAACCCATCAGCCGACACGAAAGACTACTCCACCGCCAACCTGAACCTCCTGTGTTTCCCTCTTTCTCATCACTCCCCTCTTGTGAACAGGGCGCCGCCGTGTTTGGCAAGCGCCTGGAGGTGAACTATTCCAAGTACCCGCCCATCAACCCATCGGCCGACACCAAGGACTACTCCACCGCCAACCTGAACCTCCTGTGTTTCCCTCTTTCTCATCACTCCCCTCTTGTGAACAGGGCACCGCCGTGTTTGGCAAGCGCCTGGAGGTGAACTATTCCAAGTACCCGCCCATCAACCCATCGGCCGACACCTAGGACTACTCCACCGCCAACCTGAACCTCCTGTGTTTCCCTCTTTCTCATCACTCCCCTCTTGTGAACAGGGCGCCGCCGTGTTTGGCAAGCGCCTGGAGGTGAACTATTCCAAGTACCCGCCCATCAACCCATCGGCCGACACCTAGGACTACTCCACCGCCAACCTGAACCTCCTGTGTTTCCCTCTTTCTCATCACTCCCCTCTTGTGAACAGGGCGCCGCCATGTTTGGCAAGCGCCTGGAGGTGAACTATTCCAAGTACCCGTCCATCAACCCATCGGCCGACACCTAGGACTACTCCACCGCCAACCTGAACCTCCTGTGTTTCCCTCTTTCTCATCACTCCCCTCTTGTGAGCAGGGCGCCACCGTGTTTGGCAAGCGCCTGGAGGTGAACTATTCCAAGTACCCGTCCATCAACCCATCGGCCGACACCTAGGACTACTCCACCGCCAACCTGAACCTCCTGTGTTTCCCTCTTTCTCATCACTCCCCTCTTGTGAACAGGGCGCCGCCGTGTTTGGCAAGCGCCTGGAGGTGAACTATTCCAAGTACCCGTCCATCAACCCATCGGCCGACACCAAGGACTACTCCACCGCCAACCTGAACCTCCTGTGTTTCCCTCTTTCTCATCACTCCCCTCTTGTGAACAGGGCGCCGCCGTGTTTGGCAAGCGCCTGGAGGTGAACTATTCCAAGTACCCGTCTATCAACCCATCGGCCGACACCTAAGACTACTCCACGTTCAACTCCCAAGGGGTGCTCTGGAATCACCCTCCTGTGTTCCTCTGTTTCCCCTTGTCACTCTCCCCTCCCATTTCCTCTAAGCAGGGTGCTGCCGTGTTTGGGAAGCGGCTGGAGGTGAATTACTCCAAGTACCCATCCATCAACCCATCAGCCGACACGAAAGACTACTCCACCTCCAACCTGAACCGCTTCGGCCGCAACGCGCCCAAGAACTACCGCCACTGCTGCGCGCCCACACGCATGCTGCACTGCAGCAACCTGCCGGTCGACGCCAGTGCTGACATGGTGGTAGAGCACATGGCACCGCACGGGCCCGTGCTGGGGTCCAAGGTGATTGACAAGGACGGGAAGAAGCAGGTGCTCGTGCTGTTCGAGACGGTTGAGGCGGCCACTGATGCGCTTGTGGCAAAGCATGCGACGCCCATTGGTGGGCAGGTTATCAGGCTTGCTTTTTCCAAGAGCCAAAATCTGTAGGTAGGATTAGGGATATGAATGACTAGAGCTGGCCCAAGTATACTTTGGCCTGTGTTCGGTTGTCCTCTAGTTGCTGGAGTGTTAATTTTGATGGTTTTGCTGAATAGTTACGTAGAAGTGCAATTGTGAATGTTAGATGTATGTATGGGAAAACACCAACGTTAATTTTTGTTGATCTCCTATCCATGTCCAGAAGACAGGGTAAAGGACACTTGACCAAAATCAATAAGCTAAAATAGAGTTAATTACTAGTATCAGGAGTAGGGCAGTGCCTAGCTGAACATGTGTGGCATGGGCCTTACTGCCATAAATGCGTCCACCATCTGTGTGCATGGAAGGGAGGGAGAGATGAGACGGGGCAGATGAGATGGGGAACAGATGAAAGACGGACACATGAGTTGGGGGGCAGACAACGAGTGCGGGTCAGATGAGTTTCAGCAAAGCAAAGTGTCCTGCACTGGTGGAGCGACAAGAGGGACCAACCTCATCAGTGACAAGTGCGCGCGCCTTCTGATGACGCTCCACCATGCCAGTTAACACCTCCACCAGCCGCCCCTTCACCTCCCCTGTCAGCATTCGCCCTGCCCCGTACTCCTGGAGAAGGGGGAAGGGGAGCAATGGAGAGGAGGAAGATGTGAATACTCTCGGTCAGCTGCTCTCCCCATCACCGTCACCGCCATCACCCCCATCACCCCCATCACCGCCATCACCCCCATCACCCCCATCACCCCCATCACCGTGGAGGAAGAGGGAGAGGTGCTTCACTGGCACGTGACATGGGTGGGCATGGCATGAGACGGCATGGGTGCCTCAAAGAAGGAGACGTACTTCACTCACTGGCACGTGACATGTGCCGGACTGCCCAGCAACGTGCTGCTCTCACAGCAACACAGCTTAACGCACTCACCGTCTTGATGTGCTCCAGCTCGTTGTCATCGTCCAGGAAGAAAGACGGGTACTCTCACTCACCACAACAGCTCATGGCATTGCGCTCTCACCGTTTTATTCTGCTCCCACTCACCACAACAGCACAGCACAGCACCACAGCTCTCACCGTCTTGATGCGCTCCAGCTCGCTGTCATCCTCGAGGAAGAAAGAGACGTACTTCACTCACTGGTACGTGACATGTGCCAGACTGCCCTGCATCGTGCTGCTCTCACTCCATGCTGCTCGCACCCCATGCTTCTATAATCACAACACAGTGCCATGGCACTCACCGTTTTGATGTGCTCCAGCTCGCTGTCATCGTCAAGGAAGAAAGAGAGGTACTTCACTGGCACGTCCACCTGCGGGCATAGGTGCGAATGGGTGGGGATTGGTGGGGATGGGTGGGGATGGCATGACACAAGACTACACTCGAGGCACCTAGAAAAAGACGTACTTCACTGGCATGTCGACCTGTGGACGTGGGTGGGGATGGGTGGGCGTGGGTGGGGATGGGTGGGCATGAGTGGGGACGGCACGAGGCATAATGAGACAGGCGAGCAAGAGAATGAACAAACACAGAGTCAAGTCAGGAGAGGAAGAGAGGGGAACACAGCATGCATGAAACCTCAGCTCTGCATCGTTCTCATCTCACCTCAAGTCACGCCAGGCGATTAGGAGAGGAAACACGTAACACTCGCTCGGACCACATGCATGAAACCCCAGCGTTCCACCGCTCTCACCTCCACATTCGCCCCTCATTTCCAGCCATCCAGGTTCGCCCCTCACCTCCAGGTTCGCTCCTTTTGCCCGGTGCTCCTCTATGGTCGCTCCACCACCTGAAAAGGCATAGCGGTTGATCTGCAGCGAGCATGAGAGGGCAGGGCGGAGATGGGGGGAAGGAGAAGTAAAATGTAATGGTTCTGGGGCGGTAGGCACACGGCAGTTGGTGTGAGGGAGGCGGGGCGATGGGAGGAGGGAGGGGCGGGGTCCATAGGACTGTCATGGTTCTGTGTGAAGAGCAATAGCGGACAGGTGGGCTGCCTGCGGAGGCCTTAGGGCGCATGTGATTTTCGGAAAGTTGTCAAAGTTCGAACTCAAACCGCTTTGCACCGTGGCAAAACGTCTCTCAACTGTATGCTACCGTGTAGAACCTCTCTAAAAGTTCGAACTTGGGAAAAGTTTGACAAAATCACACACGCCCTTACTTCCATCAACTCGTGCTGTTCTAGGACAACGAGACAACCCCCATGGGTTAGTGGAAGAAAGGAGCCTGGTTAAACTCTCATGGTACGGCGTGAACAACACAGGGATACACCAAACATGTCAACACCAACCCTGCTGCCCTTGCACAACACCAAAGCAGCCAAGAACAGAAGGAGCTTGGCCAGAGAAGCTTGCGCTCTTTCTCTAATCTTCTCGTCAATAGCATCTGCAAGTTACAACAACGTAGCAGCATTCTCCCCGCTCACCTTGTTCTTGATCTCCTTGGGCGAGTCGGTGACAAAGACTGCTGAGTTGGGATCACTGGCGCTCATCTTGCCACTCTCGCCCTGCGCGCAGCAGGAAGATATAGAGAGGTGCGGAGAGGGGGAGGAGGAGAGTATGGGCAGTGGAAACAAGGTGAGACTAGGGTTGGTGGAGAGAGAGAGCACACATAGGGGGGAAGTTAGGATCAGTGGCGCTCATCTTGCCGCTCTCGCCCTGTACACAGCAGAGGGATGGATGCATGGAGGGGGGAGAGACGAGAGTACGTATGGGCAGTAGAGTCAAGGTGTGTGCTGGTGTATTGGAGAGAGAAGAGGAGTACACGAGGGTTGAGGACATGAGCAGCATGCAGAGAACAAGTGCTCGAATCAACGGCATCCATTTTGCACTCCCGCCCAGCAGATTCAGGAGTTTTTTTCGACTTCTCAAAAATCTCCCACCAGATTCAGTACACGCACACCCTCAGAGAGCCACATGAGAACGAACCTTTTCCTGGACCCTCACCAACCCCACCACCGCCCATTACCCCCCACCACCCCCCACCACCCCCCACCACCCCCCACCACCCCGCCAACCACCACTTTGTGTGCACCTGCAGGGCGGGGAAGAAGCGTGACTCGATGAGCGCTGGCTTGTGGAAGCCCAGGCAACCTCTCCTGCACCCACACCACCCCCATCACCACCACCACTCCCCCCCACCCCACACCACCGCCCACCACCCCCCACCATGGTCCCCCTCTGACCTGCAGGGCGGGGAAGAAGCGCGACTCGATGAGCGCTGGCTTGTGAAAGCCCAGGCGCGGAGCACAGTCGCGTGTCATGCGGAAGTAGGGGTCCTGGTGCAAGGAGGGGGGGAGATAGGGGATGGGAGCAGGGGAGCGGGATGGGCAGATGGGGGCATTGTGAATTTGTGAGCCCAGGCGAGCACAGTCACGCGCCATGCGGAAATAGGGGTCCTGGTGGGAGGGAGAGGGGAGGGGGAGATAGGGGGATGGGGGATATGAGTGCATCAGAAGTCCAGGCGCATGGGCCTTGTGGAAGCCCAGGCTTAGCATAACATGGCATGGCATGGCATGGCATGGCATGGCATAGCATGGCATGGCATGGCATGGCATGGCATAGCATGGCATGGCATAGCATGGCATGGTTCACACAGTGCACACACCTGGTCAATGGCATGTGGAATGAGGCACACACTTGGTGGTTGGCATGGCATGCCATGGCACGCACGCACAGCATGGCATGGCATGGCACACACAGCATGGCCTGGTTCACAGTGCACACACCTGGTCGATGGCGTGGGGAATGAGGCAGCGCACTTCATTCTTGAGGCCAAACAGGTGGGGGAAGGACGAGGGGCACGCAGGAGCAGCCTGGCAGGATAGGGGAGCAGTGGGGCCAGAGAGACATTGAAGGGCAGCGAGGGCAGAAATCCACCAGAAAATCGGCAGCAAAAACCATAGATAGTTAGATTGCACAAGCGAGAAAAGACAGGAGGTGTGGATGAGGGAGAAGAAAAGGAGCAGGGTTCTGGGGATGAATGGCCAGGCAGCTGGGACCGAGGAGAAGAGAAGGAAAGAGGGACGCGGAGAGGCAGGGAGGGAGAGGGAGAGCGAGGGGAGAGGGTGGGGGAGGGAGGGGGTGCGGAGAGGGTGGGGGAGAGGGTGGGGGAGAGGGTGGGTGGCACCTGAACGGGTGGGAAGCCCACTTTGCCGATGCAATCCTCACCGTTGAATCCAAAGATGCCCCGTGCCTGATACCACACGACATGGGATGGGACCAGGGCTGACGTTTCATTTTAAGCTTCCCTGATTCCGGGGAAAAATTTCCCCCTCTATTATGGGTGCACATTTTCCAGAAAAGCAGTACCCTGATTGCTCAGGGTTGTAAAGTAGTTAACACTGATTGTTCAGGGTCGAGAACTGAACATCAGAGTAGTAACGCGCGCTTTGTTACCGGGGAAAATATCCCCACTCTCCATAAAGTCTCGAAGTTTCGATCAGAACGAAGTTTCGAAGACACTTCGTCTCGATAAAGAGGGAAGGGGGGGGATTACGCACATGTGGGGGGATCACTGCGATCAATCCAAGGCGGGGTCATCGGAAGGAAACTTCCGAGAAACTTCCTCTCGATAAGTCAGGGTCCACACAGTCGATACTCTGTTAAGTCAGGGTCCACTAACAGCCTAGTCTGTTACACTGTACTCAAAATCAGGGATAGCTAAACTATTACTCTGATTGGATCAGGGCTGGAAATTCAATAACTCTGAAATTTCAGTCTCCACGAAGTGGAAAGCCTGAAATCACCCTGAAATCAGGGTAATTACCCTGATAAAATCAGCCCTGGATGGGACACACGATGACAATGCAGTGATGCGATATTATCATGATATGACGTGACATGATATGACGTGACATGATATGACGTGACATGATATGACGTGACATGATATGACGTGACATGATACATGATATGACGTGACATGATATGACGTGACATGATATGACGTGACATGATGTGACGTGACATGATATGACGTGACATGATATGACGTGACATGATATGACGTGACATGATATGACGTGACATGATATGACGTGACATGATATGACGTGACATGATATGACGTGACATGATATGACGTGACATGATATGACGTGACATGATGTGACGTGACATGATATGACGTGACATGATATGACGTGACATGATGTGACGTGACATGATATGACGTGACATGATGCAGCCGTTTGGGTTGCCAAAAGGTTGGAGAAGCAAGTGGGTAATGTGAGCGGAAATAGAAGAATCGAATCCATCCACCCAATTCTGAACCCCATTCCTCAGCAGTCAGGAAGTTGAAGGTGTGAATGAAGGTGACTTGTAAGGCGCCGCTAAAGGTGACTTGTAAGGCGCCTCTAAAGGTGACTTGTAAGGCGCCTTTAAAGGTGACTTGTAAGGCGTCTCTAAAGGTGACTTGTAAGGCGCCTCTAAAGGTGACATGTAAGGCGCCTCTAAAGGTGGGTGGCTTGCCTGGTTGAGAGTTACGCATCGAGCGATCTTCACAATGTTCTGGTAGAAGTCCCTGCCATGCCATAACACGACCATGCCATAACACGACCATGCCATAACACGACCATGCACACATGCACAGCACAGTCCAAGTCAGGTCGCAGAAGTCAAACGTGTTTTTCCAGACGTCAAGCTGCCACGCAATTATGGGCCCCCCAATCATGGCGCTCCCCTCACACCCACCCTCACCACACTCACTCTGCACCAATCATCCACCCCCTCTGCCCCCTCTCTTCCGGATGCCCCCTCTCTTCCCCTCTCACGCCCTCCCGAGAGAACACACCCGCCCACGTAGTCGAAAACACAGAAGATGAATTTTGAGGCGCCTCAAAAGAAGATGAAGGTCCTGGCAACGTCAAATCCACAAGCCCACCCCATCCCCTCTATCCCTTGTGCGAGGGAGGCAGCGTAATATCCTTCGCATTCTCCCTCCCTCGCACACGCACTCACCCTGCCCCGCCACCTCTATCGCCACACCAGCCGCCACGCACCCGCCCACGTAGTCAAAGTCAGCAAAGATGAAGGTCCGTGAAACATCAAAGCCACAGGTAATGATATCCTTGGCGTTTTCCCTCGCACTCACTCACACAATGTCAATGCCTGCCAGCCATCCACCCCACCCCGCCCTCCCTATTAACGCACCCGCCCACGTAGTCAAAGTCAGCAAAGATGAAGGTCCGTGAAACATCAAACCCGCACGCGATGATGTCCTTGGCATTCTCCCTCGCCAGCCGCCGCGCCTCCTCCACGCTCATGCTCTTCCACAGATACTTCTCATCGTCTGTCAACTGAATCACCAGAGGGACCTTGAACGCTTCTTGTAGCCACCTGGGAGTGTTGAGGGAATGAGATACAACAAGTAGGGTCAACCCTTCCTCCTCCACGCTCATGCTCTTCCACAGATACTTCTCATCGTCAGTTAACTGGATCACGAGAGGGACCTTGAACGCTTCTTGTAGCCACCTGAAGGGGTGAGAAAGAAAGACAGGCTATGTCAGTCAACCCCTCCTCTACGCTTGTGCTCAGATACTTATCATCGTCGGTGTGTTGAATGACCAGAGGGACTTTAAATGCTTCTTGTAGCCACCTGAACGTGTAGAGAGGGTGAGGAAGATGAAAAGTAGCTGTGGCAGATCACTCCGCTCCTCCACACTCGCGCTCTTCCACAGATGCTTCTCGGCGTTGGCTAACCGGACGACTAGAGGGAATCTGAAATTTCAACAGCCACTGGTGTCGTGACGCGAATGCGTGTCAAGACTCAAGACGCACAACCCACAAATCCCAACACGCGACTCACAGCTCACGGGACACGAAGCAAGACTCACTTGGTGAACATGAAGGGAATGAGGTGCCCCAGGTGCAGCGCCTCCGACGAGGGTCCTCGCCCCGTGTACAGGTAAAACCGCTCCCCCTTCTCCACCGCGTCTAGAATCTTGTCGAAGTCGCTGGGAAGGGAGGGGGATTGAGAGGGGTGTGGGGGAGTGGACAGAGGCGGATAGGGCGAATGAGGGGGATGGGAGGCCAGGGAGAGGGGCGCGAGCAGGGCGAGGGTCCTCGCCCTGTGTACAGGTGGAAGAAGCCGCACCGCTCGCCCCTTTCGGCTTTGAGGCGCCCCTAGGAAGTGCATCGCATTGCGGTGGAGAAGCTGCTGCCTTTGAGGCGCCTCAAAAGTCGGAGGACAAGCCCTTAGTCCTAGCCCCTAGATCCCAGCCCTTAGCTTCTAGCCCCTCGCCTCTCGCCTCTCGCCCCTCGCCCCTCGCCTATCGCTCCTAGGCCCGAGCTCCTAGGGCCTAACCTCTATCCTGTGCTCCAATCACCGCAGCCCTGAGCGCCGATAGCTTGGCGCTAACCCCTGCGTGAGCCCCTACGGTAGGCGCACCGGTGCGCGAAGAAGATGCCACGGCGCAGAAAGGGGTGCGCGCGCACGCCGGTGAGCTTCTCCATACGCGATACAAGCGGGGGTTCGAGACGCTGGCAGCCGAACTGCTCGATAAGCTTGTTGTAGTCGATACCGCCCCCGGATGACACCTCCCACGGCGTCACCACCTGCTCCGCCCCCGCTTCCCCCGCGCTCTGCTGCTCCGCATTCTCCCCGCCTGCGCTGGCCGCGCTCGCCTCCGCGGGCGCGGGCGCTGCGGCGGCGGGATCGGCGCCGGTCATTGCGCGCGGACGAGGGGGAAACGGCGCGGGGAAAAATGAAGGGGTTGGGAGGAGTGCGCGCCGCGCGAATTGAGGATGACAGAAAGACACTGCGGGGCTGGTGTGGTCGTGGAATCAAGTGGATGCTCGATGATTCGTGGATCATTTGCTGTGGATTTCGGGTTTGTGACGTCGTTTCGTACTCGATAACGTAAACATTCGACAATAGCAGAACATCTGTACTACTCGGAAAAAAAAATGAACACCCCCGTTCACAGATTGACATGGCTTTGATTATCCAACAGTACATTCCAATCCAAAATATTACAGAACTACAATTCTAAGCCCTTGCAACAAAATCAACACCCTTGTCAATGCTTGCCTTGAGCTCCGGCTTCAACTTGTCCAACCACACCCTGCAAAGAGAATGAAATAGAGGAACAGCAGAATGACACCAATGGCAGACAACGACAGCGGCTTGTAAGACCAGGGGTGGAATCATCTCTTTTGAAGGCGTCTATTCTCTGATCGTCAAAGCAACTAGTTCCGCAAGCATGCGAGGGTTACCATTACTAGGATACAACGGAGGTTCACAACCAGATTCACATTCACACAGGTGCTCACCGCTCGTACTGAGTCATGGGCCCTAGCCCTAGCACCTCCTCCACTCCTTGCCGCCCCAGCACCACTCGCGAGGCAAAGAAGGGCAGCTCCGTCACCTGCTCACATACGGCAGGGGGTGGAAAAGGGGGGGGGGGGGGGGGGTTGAGTCGACTCAAAAAGCTTTTTGTTTCAATGGCACGCGAGGCGAAGAAGGGCAGCTCCGTCACCTGCTCATGAACAGCAGAGGGCAGGTGGAGGTGGCAGAGAGAGGGGAGGGGGTGTGGCAGAGGTGGAGTTAAATCACATGCACGAGACTTGCCTTGGTGCAGTCACACGGGCAAAGGCACAGGCGTGAAGATGCATACATGCAGTTGCACGGGCATACGCACGCGCAGAAGCAGAGGCAGAAGCAGGGACAAAAGCAGAGGCAGGAGCAGAGGCAGAAGAAGGGGCAGAAGCAGGGGCAAAAGCAGAGGCAGGAGCAGAGGCAGAAGGGGCAGAAGCAAGGGCAAAAGCAGAGGCAGGAGCAGAGGCAGAAGAAGGGGCAGAAGCAAGGGCAGACGCAGGGGCAGACGCAGGGGCAGACACAGCGGCAGAAGCAGGGGCAGACGTGGCGGCAGAGCCAGAAGCACGAGAGCATGCAGGTGCGTGAGAATGAGCAGTAGGCGGTGGTGACTGACCGTGGATTGCACGAAGGCGCACTCCACAATGCCCGCCTCCCCCCGCATGGCCCGTAGACACGCCTGGGCGAACTTGGCCGCTGCGTATGCCTGAGCGTGGGGATAGAGGGGAGGAGTTGGACACGCAGGAGAGCCGGGGTAGATGGGGTGGGTGAGCGGGAGGGGTGGGGTGCGGCAGTAGGAGGTGAGTCAGCACGTGGTGGTTGGGTTGGGAGGGATCAACATAGCTCATGTGGTGGAGAGGTGGAGGTGGAATTGGAAAGAAGATCTGTTTGCCTGATGGCATTCCCTGGGTTGGGTTTATCTGCTTGCATATCCGACCGAGTTGACTCATTGTACGAAAGAAGCACCGCACGATCGGACTTACCACGGGCATGGCTAATTGGTGTTTTAAGGATTCTCACAGTTCATTTCAACAAATCAGAACCCAACTGTTTCTCGGTAGCCAACTAGTCACGATGGGATGGGACTCACCATGGACAGGGTGGCGGAACCAGCACCGGCTTTGGCGTGCCTTTGAGAATTTTCAAAAGCAATTTGGGGAATTCTCAAAAGCGATTCAGGGGCCGACTAGTGATGATGGGATGGGATGGGAGGGACTCACCATGGACAGAGTGGCGGAACCAGCGCCGGCTTTGGCCTGCAGCAACGCACGGAGGGGGGAAGCAGGCGGGCAGGGAGACAGGATAAGCAAGTACACAGGGCACTGGCGATAAATGCGCATTGCAGAATCGTGGTATTTTTTTTGCTGTGCTAAAGAAGCACACATGCTTTCGCATCGCATCGCATGTGCTGGTAACAGGCGTGGTGGAATTCGTCACTGTGTGTTGATTCATATTCGTGACAACTTTGGCAATTTTGTGACCCTGGCTCCCCATCTACTGTGGAACTGCTTCTGTTCTGACCCCTGCTCTCACCTCGACGACCTCCGTGCCTCCGTTTTGGATTCTGTTAGTCAGCTGATCCAACTCCTCCTGGCTGAAGCTCACCGGGGGTGTCACCTGCACTCACCGCACACACCATACACAGCACACGGCACACAGCCAGCATTGACATCCCCGTATGTGTGAGCCAGATCCAGCTTCACTAATGGAAGAGTGAAGGGGTGAAGCAACGGGCGCCGGGCGCCACGGGTAGCAGCACGGGCAAGACCCCACCACCCAGAAGCGCCCCAGAGCAGCTGCAGCTGTGGGCGCTATAGGAGCTACTCGAGTGGGTGTACCGTGTACGTATGCGAGCAGTCGTACCTGCGAGAGCAGCGGCAGGATGGTGATGCCTGCATGGCCGCCCACCACGGGCACGTTCACGTCCTCGGGATTCAACCCCAGCACCTCCGCCTGCCAAGCACAATGTCGCAAGGGTACACGGGACGTTGAAAATCGCGCAATTACACAATGCGTGAGAGAGAGGGGGAAGACATGGCCCCTCTATAAAATTCAGACATACCACGAATGTATTGTGGATATATTCATCCCTCTCGCACGGGCCCCATGAGACGTACCACGAAGGTGTTGGCGCGGACCACGTCGAGCGTCGTGACGCCGTACCATTCAACGTAAGCACCCTGTTTTGTACGCTTAGATACCTCACCCGCGGACGCCATGCGAGTCACACCAGACGCACGTACCACGAAGGTGTTGGCGCGGACCACGTCGAGCGTCGTGACGCCGTACCATTCAACGTAAGCACCCTGTTTTGTACGCTTAGATACCTCACCCGCGGACGCCATGCGAGTCACACCAGACGCACGTACCACGAAGGTGTTGGCGCGGACCACGTCGAGCGTCGTCACGCCCATCAGCTTGCGCGGATCGTACGTCCCCGCGCGCCGGAACACCTCCGCGGCAATCGCGACCGTCGAATTCACCGGGTTACTGATAATATTCACGATGGCGCGCGGGCAGTGCTTCGCGATGCCTTGGCAGAGCGTCTTGACGATGCCCGCGTTGATCTTGAAGAGGTCGTCGCGCGTCATGCCCGGCTTGCGCGGCACGCCCGCGGGGATGATCACCAGGTCCATGCCGTCTAGCGCCGCGCCCAGCTGGTCGTTGCCCAGGAACCCGCGCACCTGAGAACGGGATACACATACATGGGGAACAAAAACGTAGTAATAGAAAGACATGCCAGGGATTTGGAGGTAACACGTTACGTTCGTCGGCAATTGGTGCGTAATGTACTGATCATGCAGCACGCGGGTCACAGAGAAGAGGGAACGTACGACGGCGGAGGTGCTGGTGTGGCTGAGGTCGGCCGTGACGCCGGGCGTGTTGAACACGTCGTACAGGTGCAGCACCGATACAAGCGGATTCATTTTAAGCAGCAGCGACAGCGGCTGCCCGATGCCGCCCGCCGCGCCCAGCACGGCGACCTTGAAGCCGCCGCTGCTGCCCTTGGCGCGCGTGGCGTTCATGCTGAGTCCACCATCCTGCGCGCAAGACCAACAAGCAAGACATGGAAAATTCCATCAGTTCAGACGGGCCGTCATATTTGTATTTGTGTAGCGGGCAGGCACGACAGGTAGCGTTTTTATTCCTTCAGACAATTCTTCCTTCAGTCATACTCGTTGTTTTGTAATTGGTATATTATTGATTCCCTTTCACGAAAAGATGCAAAGTTATTGCCGATAGTGGGGGAAGTGAGAGGCAGAGCAAGACGAGTGAATGGCGAGGCGAGCCGATCGTGCCCGCTGTGCGTGTGCCGAGGCAGTAGCTACCCACGCTGGTCGAGGCGGGCGGGCAGATGTGCGAGGCGATGCGGTTGATGCGGTTCAACGGACTCATGGTGAAATGCTCGGCTGGCGAGACGACTGACGAGGACGACTGGCGGAAAGCTAATAGCGGCCTTCGACTAGCCTCGCGTGGTACTTTGAGGTACTGGGATCTGCGGGTTAGGCAGGAACACGGCGACAGGGAAGACGAGAAAGGCTACTGCTGTCGGTGGTCAGAAATAAGAATTCCCAAGGCTTCTGTGCTTGTGGGGCTGCCAGTCTTCATCTCAGTCAGTCCCCCCCAGCACCAAAATTCGAACTCGAAATTCGAGAAACAGGCTGGTTGGTTCATGAAAATGCATCATGCGTGCGGGGTTTCGGTTCGGATTCAGCTTTCGCATGGATTGTGGCTCGGGGGGAAAAGGGATCAATCTAGCTGGCAGGCCGCTTGACTGATGTGTGTGGTCCCAGCCGAGTCTTTCCGGGAGTCCCATGCTGACGTGATCCTGGACTCGTTCAGGCAGGTGCTGAAAAGTGTTGTCACGTCAGCACCCGCTGATGTGGACTCTGGGACCTCATGGATCCCGAGTGGCTACTCCGTTATCGTATCGACTCGTTTCAGTGATAGAAATTTTTACATACGCCACGTGCAGAAAAAACTACAAACCCTCCCTGACACTTCGGGATTGCCGCTGAACCGAACCATCTGCCACATTAGCAAACTTCGATGTGATCCCCTTCGCGATAAGCCGCCCGAGCCGAGCCTTGCTAGGCATGGCAGGTGAGGGGAGTGTGTGTGCCCTCCCATGAAACCCACACACCCATCCAGCAGTCAGCAGTATATATTTCGTATATGGTACCATAATTTGCTCAACCCCTGTCGTACCATTCGCATTCTAGCAATTCCTCCTCCCCTTGCTGGCCTAGTCTCCTCGCTCCGCTTCTGCTGCTCCAGCACCCAGGATCCATACCAGCTTCGTGCTGAATCCAGAAGTTGAACTGAAATGACCGTTTAATGTTGGTCCAGGTTCCTATATCCTCAGATACGCTCATTTGCAAACTCGCATATACGCTTTTCCGCAAACTAGCAGATTCGCTTGAGCATTTCTAGAGTACCACGAAGAGAGTTACCCTCCTCGCGTACGCGTCCACGTGAACTTTAACCCGAATCGACACAGATCGAAACAGCCTTGAAACAATCCCAAACTGTCTTAAACAGTCTCAAACAGTTTCAGCAGTCAGGAAGCGAGGATGAGTCGGCAGATGTGCGGCGAGTGCAAGCGCAACACGGAGCTCGTACACGACCACGCGGCGGGCGACCTCATCTGCGCCGAGTGCGGGCTGGTCGTCGAGGCGCACAGCGTCGACGAAACTTCCGAATGGCGTACTTTTTCCAATGAGGCCGCTAATACCGATCCCGTGCGCGTCGGCGGGCCGACGAATCAGCTGCTGACAGATGGCGGGCTCACGACGATGATCAGTGCCGGGAAGAACGGGCAGGGCGGGGGGGATCTGCCCGGGAGGAAAGGGTGGGCCAGCCAAGGCTCGAACCCTGATCGGGACTTGATAAGCGCGTTTCAGTCGATAGGCGACATGGCGGACAGGTAAGTGGGAAAGTGGGAAGGATGCGCGAGGTAACGGGCTCGAATCTTGAGGGCGACGTGATTACCGCAGTTTAGGCGACCGGCGACATGGCGGGCAGGTGAGGGGCGTTGGGTGGGGGGCATGCGAGGGTGGCGAGGGAGGCTGGGAAAGGTGGCAATAAAGCGGGAAGGTGGGTTTGGCGTGTGGGTTAAACGAAGTGGCTCCGTAGGATAGCAGAGGGCGGTGAGCGATCAGCGATTCACGAGCAGCCATCAGTGACTGACGATCAGCGATTGGATGTGCTGGTGGCTTGTAATGCGTCAGATTCAATGCCGGTATGGTGATTGGCAGACATTGCATGCCTGAACCCACAGCCATCAACCAGCATGGCACCAGCACGAACCATTCAACTGATTGTTTCTCCCTCCCCGTCCATTCCCTGCGCCCCCGTTTACCCCCCTACCTTGCTCACTCCCTCCATCATGTATCGTGGTAACCGCCTCGGCCCACCCAACCTCGCCTGTGCTCGCCACGTCATCACCGCCGTGCCATGTACACGTGTGTGGAATGCGACGTGGGGTGTCGTCTGACATGGCAGACTGGGCCTCGTGGCCACTATCCGGGTACGTTCCTCCCTTGCTTGGAGAAAACGTGTCATTATAACGAGGTGACTTCTGAGTCGACTCAAAAGTCGTCTGACATGGCAGACTGGGCCTCGTGGCCACTATCCGGGTAGGCCTCCTTCTCCCTCCTCGCCCCTCCTTTTCCCTCCTTGTCCCTCTTTTTCCCTCCGTGTATCTCCTCGCACCTCCTCCCCCCCTCTCTCTTCCTCATCGTCAGAACGTCCTAGGAAGGACCATGTGCTTCCCCCTCTCACCCAATAATTATCATCTGTGCTTCCCCCTCTCACCCAATAATTATCATCTGTGCTTCCCCCTCTCACCCAATTATTATCATCTGTGTTCGCCCCCTCCCAGGACCGCGCAAACAATATATTCAACAAGGTGCACGACCTGAAGAGCATTCGCTCTCACCTTTTCCCCTGATCTTACTCCCAACCCACATTGTGTTCGCCCCTTACCAGGACCGCGCAAACGAGATATTCAAGAAGGTGCACGACTTGAAGAGCATCCGCGGGCGCAGCAACGAGGCCACGTACGCTGCTTGCCTCTACATCGCATGCCGGCAGGAGGACAAGCCGCGTACCTTCAAAGGTGGGTGGGTGGGGTGTGAGGATTGCAGATGTGGCAACCAATGTTGCTGGTGCTCTCAACCTCGCTCGCATGCCCTCACATACCCTCCCACCCTCACATGCCCTCCTCCCCTCACATACCGTCCTCCCCTCACATACCGTCCTCCCCTCACATACCGTCCTCCCCTCACATACCGTCCTCCCCTCACATACCGTCCTCCCCTCACATACCGTCCTCCCCTCACATACCGTCCTCCCCTCACATACCGTCCTCCCCTCACATACCGTCCTCCCCTCACATACCGTCCTCCCCTCACATACCGTCCTCCCCTCACATACCGTCCTCCCCTCACATACCGTCCTCCCCTCACATACCGTCCTCCCCTCACATACCGTCCTCCCCTCACATACCGTCCTCCCCTCACATACCGTCCTCCCCTCACATACCGTCCTCCCCTCACATACCGTCCTCCCCTCACATACCGTCCTCCCCTCACATACCGTCCTCCCCTCACATACCGTCCTCCCCTCACATACCGTCCTCCCCTCACATACCGTCCTCCCCTCACATACCGTCCTCCCCTCACATACCGTCCTCCCCTCACATACCGTCCTCCCCTCACATACCGTCCTCCCCTCACATACCGTCCTCCCCTCACATACCGTCCTCCCCTCACATACCGTCCTCCCCTCACATACCGTCCTCCCCTCACATACCGTCCTCCCCTCACATACCATACCGTCCTCCCCTCACATACCGTCCTCCCCTCACATACCGTCCTCCCCTCACATGCCCTCCTCCCCTCACATACCGTCCTCCCCTCACATACCGTCCTCCCCTCACATACCGTCCTCCCCTCACATACCGTCCTCCCCTCACATACCGTCCTCCCCTCACATACCGTCCTCCCCTCACATACCGTCCTCCCCTCACATACCGTCCTCCCCTCACATACCGTCCTCCCCTCACATACCGTCCTCCCCTCACATACCGTCCTCCCCTCACATACCGTCCTCCCCTCACATACCGTCCTCCCCTCACATACCGTCCTCCCCTCACATACCGTCCTCCCCTCACATACCGTCCTCCCCTCACATACCGTCCTCCCCTCACATACCGTCCTCCCCTCACATACCGTCCTCCCCTCACATACCGTCCTCCCCTCACATACCGTCCTCCCCTCACATACCGTCCTCCCCTCACATACCGTCCTCCCCTCACATACCGTCCTCCCCTCACATACCGTCCTCCCCTCACATACCGTCCTCCCCTCACATACCGTCCTCCCCTCACATACCGTCCTCCCCTCACATACCGTCCTCCCCTCACATACCGTCCTCCCCTCACATACCGTCCTCCCCTCACATACCGTCCTCCCCTCACATACCGTCCTCCCCTCACATACCGTCCTCCCCTCACATACCGTCCTCCCCTCACATACCGTCCTCCCCTCACATACCGTCCTCCCCTCACATACCGTCCTCCCCTCACATACCGTCCTCCCCTCACATACCGTCCTCCCCTCACATACCGTCCTCCCCTCACATACCGTCCTCCCCTCACATACCGTCCTCCCCTCACATACCGTCCTCCCCTCACATACCGTCCTCCCCTCACATACCGTCCTCCCCTCACATACCGTCCTCCCCTCACATACCGTCCTCCCCTCACATACCGTCCTCCCCTCACATACCGTCCTCCCCTCACATACCGTCCTCCCCTCACATACCGTCCTCCCCTCACATACCGTCCTCCCCTCACATACCGTCCTCCCCTCACATACCGTCCTCCCCTCACATACCGTCCTCCCCTCACATACCGTCCTCCCCTCACATACCGTCCTCCCCTCACATACCGTCCTCCCCTCACATACCGTCCTCCCCTCACATACCGTCCTCCCCTCACATACCGTCCTCCCCTCACATACCGTCCTCCCCTCACATACCGTCCTCCCCTCACATACCGTCCTCCCCTCACATACCGTCCTCCCCTCACATACCGTCCTCCCCTCACATACCGTCCTCCCCTCACATACCGTCCTCCCCTCACATACCGTCCTCCCCTCACATACCGTCCTCCCCTCACATACCGTCCTCCCCTCACATACCGTCCTCCCCTCACATACCGTCCTCCCCTCACATACCGTCCTCCCCTCACATACCGTCCTCCCCTCACATACCGTCCTCCCCTCACATACCGTCCTCCCCTCACATACCGTCCTCCCCTCACATACCGTCCTCCCCTCACATACCGTCCTCCCCTCACATACCGTCCTCCCCTCACATACCGTCCTCCCCTCACATACCGTCCTCCCCTCACATACCGTCCTCCCCTCACATACCGTCCTCCCCTCACATACCGTCCTCCCCTCACATACCGTCCTCCCCTCACATACCGTCCTCCCCTCACATACCGTCCTCCCCTCACATACCGTCCTCCCCTCACATACCGTCCTCCCCTCACATACCGTCCTCCCCTCACATACCGTCCTCCCCTCACATACCGTCCTCCCCTCACATGCTCTGCCCCCGTTCACGTCCTCTCCCCCTCTCACATGCTCTCCTCCCCTCACATGCTCCCCCCCTCACATGCTCCTCCACACTGCCACGTGTCTCTCCCTCCACCACAAGTGCAGAGATAGGGTCAGCAGGCAACAACATATCCAAGAAGGAGATAGGGCGAGCGACCAAGTTTATAGTGAAGCAGCTAGAAGCGGATATGGGGGCCGTGGACATGGGAGCAGTCAATGCAGGCGATTTCATGGTGAGTAGTAGGCGGTTTCATGGTGAGTAGTAGGCGGTTTCAGTATAAGCAGGTGCAGGGGCTCAGAAACTCTTTCTCCTCTAGCCCCCCTGTGTCACCACCACTCACCCCTCACTCCCCTCGCCCCCTTCTCCTTCCCCCTACTTCCCTCTCTTCCCTCCTTCCCTCCCCCCCCCCCTGCTTCCTGTTCAGCGGCGCTTCTGCTCGCATCTGGGCATGAAGGGAGCGCCAGTACAGGCGGCGATAGAGGTGGTGCAGAACACAGAGCACATCGACATCCGCACCAGCAGAGCGCCCATCTCCAAGGCTGCTGCCGCCATCTACATGGTCACACAACTGTGCAGCAACCCTGTTCCCACCAAAGGTAGTGTACGGTTTATTGTGTAATGGCTGTGTCTGGTGCTGGTGGTGTGTGTGCATGAGCTGAGCGCCCATCTCCAAGGCTGCTGCTGCCATCTACATGGTCACTCAGCTCTGCAGTCAATCAGCTCTGCAGTCACTCAGCTCTGCAGTCACTCAGCTCTGCAGTCACTCAGCTCTGCAGTCACTCAGCTCTGCAGTCACTCAGCTCTGCAGCAACCCGGTGCCTACCAAAGGTGAGGGACACATAGCAGTCCCAGGTGCATGTGGCCGCTAAAGGTAATCTATGGTACAGTTTCTAGACTTGTGCTGCTTGTCGCAAGGTGCAAATTTCAAGGCACAAGTTGCGATGTCTTTGCCTCCTCCGCTTTCCTCTCCCCATTAGGTTCTCCTCGTCAGTTTCTCCTCTCCTCCTCTCCTCTCCCACCTCCCATTTCACTCCACTGCCATTCCAACCCCCTGTGTGCGCCAGACACATCGGAGCAACAGGAGTGGCAGAGGGCACCATTTGCAACACCCACACGGACCTGCTCCCCTTTAACATGCCTCTTCCTACCTGTCTCTCATTCCCCTTTCGCTTGACCTCCCCTCTCTGCAGACATATCGCGGGCAACGGGAGTGGCGGAGGGCACCATCCGCAACACCTATAAGGACCTGCTGCCATCCCCTTCCCCCCTCCAAGTCTCCTCTTTCTCCTGCACCTGCTCATCTCCTCTCCCCTTTCATTCACTCCCCCCTTACGTGCAGACATATCACAGGCAACACGAGTGGCAGAGGGCACCATTCGCAACACCTACAAGGACCTGCTGCCCTCCCCCATTCCTATCTGACTCTCCTCTTCCTACCTGGCTGTCATTCCACTCTCCCTTCACCTTCCTTGTGTGCGCCAGACATATCGCGGGCAACAGGAGTGGCAGAGGGCACCATACGCAACACGTACAGGGACCTGCTGCCCTTCCCCCTCCTTTTCCTCCCATTCTGAATCTCCTCTTCCTACCTGTCTGTCATTCCCTTTTCCCTGTACTCCTGCCAGACATATCGAGGGCAACAGGAGTGGCGGAGGGCACGATCCGCAACACGTACAAGGACCTGCTGCCCTTCGCCTCGCGCCTGCTGCCAGATTCATACGCCAAACCAGAGGACATCGCCAAGCTCTCCCCCTCGTAGCCCACCCGCCCTGCTTCCACTCACACTCGTCTGCTCTGCATGTTCTGGGTGACGTGACGGCGCAACATGTGAGAGTTGCAAAAGCGACTCCAGTATTGCTAACTGACGGGACAACCCTTCATCGTAGCGGTTACTGAGGCGGTGCAAAAGCAAACACCGGGCTTCATTTTGGGAGAGTTTATTCTTCAAGTTGTGCTTCCTGTGATTAAGAAGAGTGCTGTAAACTGTACACTGATTAAAGGAGCCTTGTACAATAGATAAACCGAGGCAGCCATCTTAGTGAGCTATCTTCTTCCTTTGTTCTTTACCCATTCCATCTCGCCGGCACAGATGTTTGTATCGTTACAGTGTGCAGTGCGCAGGCCATGTCTCAAGCGCTGTATATCCTGGGAGAATGTGGAGGCAACAGAGCCAAAGAACACCGCAGCATGCGCACACACCAGCTTCTCAAGCACTGACGCTGCTATGCCTATGTTCCTGCTATCGCTCACAATGGAGGCTATTGGAGTAGCCCAATCGTCAGACTGGGTTAGACCTTCAGACTCCGGGTTATTGCTACTGCTGCTGCTGGTGGTGGTGCTGGTGCTGCTGGTGATGGTGACTGTAGCACCGTTGGTGACATTAGTATATGTGATCATAACGGGGGCTTTGTCGAGGGTGCCAGTGAGGGGTGGAAGGCGGTGGAAGGAGATGCTGAGGGGTGTGATGCGAGCTATCTTGCGGGTGAGCTCCTGCAGCTGCCAAGCGTTACAGAAAAGGCCGAAGAAAAGGAGAGTTTAGAAGGCTGTAGATGAGCCACTTCACACTCGTCGTAGCTCTTAACGCAAAAGAAACAGCTTTAAGAGGATGGCCAGAGGGGCAAGCAGATGCGACTTGACGACGGGTTCTTGCGTACAAGCATACCTGCTTGTTCATGCCATTCTACAGACGCTCACAGCTCACCCCCTTGAGATAGGCATGCGTCTCACTCACTCCCTCCTCCATCCCACCACACCACACATCACTCTTTCTCCACCACCACACCGATCGCTGCACAGAGGGCATGGCACTGTCTCTCTTTATCTTCTTGGCTGTGCCATGCAGCAAGCACTCACCTCCTTGAGCTTGGCGTTGGTGGCGAGGAAAAGATCTTGAATGGCGCTCTCCTGTACCCTCTTCACAAGCCAGTGCGCCACCTGGGAAGCACCAGCGCCAGGAATGATGTTACCACGAGATCGCACAGTAGTTTTGAACAGGAAAAACGAGGGACATCTAGAAACGCAACACAGTACACCAACAGAAGCAACCTCATCTCTGCCTCTCACCTGGTGCACGGGGTAAAAGCACGCGTGCTTGGGTCCTCGCCAGAAGCACCACGGCTTGAAGTCGCCCCGCCGCCAGTGCACCGCCAGGAACGGCCGCCCTCCAAACAGCCGCCCCACCAGCAGCTCTGCGCTCTCCAGCAGCGCGGGGCGCGGGCGCAGGAGGAGGGGCGAGGGACAGGCGGCTGAGCGGTGGAAAGGCAGGTCGAGAAAGGGCTGTGGTGCGCTGGTGACGGTGGCGGTGATGGTTGCCGTTCCATCCGTTCCATCTTCAGATGACTGCTCAGGCGTTACCTCTTCCACAGTTTCGTCCCCCTCTGCGGAGACGTGCAGGTTGAGGAGGTCCCCCACCACAAGCACGGGCGCAGGGTTGCTGCCCCAGGCACGCAGTACCTGGTGGTGGGTCGAGGGCGAGGAGACGACGAGTGAGACGGAGGATGGAGAGGGAGGAGTGTGATATGCATTTGGAGGAGCAAGTGAGTATGTGAAGCAGACACATGTGGGGAAGCAGATGAGTGCAAGGCTCTGACCTGCTGTTGAGAGGCGAGCATGGGCAGGCAGGCAGCGTGGGTGGTGGTGTTGGGAGGAAGATGCACAAGGGGGCTGCGGAAGAGCGAGTGGGAGACAGGCACCCCCGTGTCAAACACAGCCCCAGGCGTGCCTGTGACCATGCCACTCCCACCATCCCCTGCCATCCCACCACCGTCACCGTCATCACCATCACCAGCAGCACCAGCATCACCAGCAGCATCACCAGCAGAAGCGTCATCACTCCCACCGCTCCCGCTCCCATCAACTCTCCTCATCTCGTCAAGACCAGGGCAGTGCAGCAGAATGTTATCAATCTGATCCGCACACGCCCCAGGCGGCCCGTGCCAGCACACCACCTGAGACACCTGAACGGGCTGCCTGAACTTTCTCCTGAACTCGGCAGTGGTGAAGACAGTAGGGCCGATGCAGGACCTGAGGTAGGCGAGGTCGAGCACTAAGTGCAGGTCGTAGTTGAGAATGGTTTCAGAGCGGTGGAAAGGGATTATGAGGGTGCGGTTGAGCAGGCCTGCGAGCAGCATGTGGTTGCGCAGGCAGATCAGACGATTGGTGATCTGTGTGTGGGGGGAGGGATGCCAGAGGGGGATACACGAATGCAGGGTGGAATACGAGACAATGACATGCCTGCACTGTCATTGTCCACACAGACCGCATTGTTGGTACGAGCTTCTTTGGGTTGAGTACCCTACCCAGAGAGAAGCCCGCTGCAAGCAAAGCCTCCTGCTTCTTGCATAGGACAAATTTCTCAAAGCTTGCATATTCCTGATCTGCCCTTGTGGTGGCGTGGCATGAGTAAATTTGAGGCTGCATGCTTCTGACCTGCCCTCGCACGCAGTGAGCCAGGAGGAACCGGTTGCTTGCAGGCGTCCATCTCACTGTGCCACGTGTCAGCGCGCCCTGCTCCCACGTGGCATTGAAGAGCGCACCTGACCCCTCCGCGCATTCCTGCAGCAACGGATGGCTGCATTAGATTGTGCAGGGGGGAAGTGGGAAGAGGCGAGAGACGGAGAATCGAAGGGTGTACGCGGGATCTGAGGTTAGGGGAAGAGACGCAGAAAGAGAGAGCGCGAGGGACGGGCCATTGAAAGAGAGGGGACGCGCGGTGAAAGCGGAACGTGAGGATTACTTGGGGCGAGAAAGGGGCCAGGGCGTGAGAGAGGACGGAGGAGAAAGATTGGTGGCACTACTAACGCACGTGTTGAAAGCTGATTCGGTGCGCCGCAGAATGCACGCCACAACGGCCAATAGGAGCAACGGAAATGACGTTCGGTTCATGGCAAGAGTCCGGCGGACCAGGGGTAACACCGGGTTACCAGCGACATTGGCGAGACGGCGAGGGTACTGCAAGTAAGGAATGCTGAGACGGCTTCATAAGGAGGACAGAGCTCGAGTGGGAGAGTGCGCTAATCACGAGGATATTATTAAACGGCTCATGGTAAACGGCTCACGTCAATGCGTCCAACCTGCTGTGGTGAGCTCATGGCTCACAATGAATAATTCCACGCTGTCTTGTCGTGCAGAAATAAAAAGGCATCTGGAAGCCGTTATCGCCGCGCAAACTGCTATATCTGTTTAGTGTCAGTACTGTACTATTTATCCAGTACGATTCTAGTCTAGGCTTCGTGTTTGGATTCCGTTGGCTCGCGAGAAAACCCAGTGAACTGCTGGGCGGGTGGTAACTATTGGGAGGTTGGATTGGACTCAGCATCGCAGTGCTTCGGGGTCGAACGCGGTGCAAGAACGCAGAGGAAGGGTACAATCCGGTCGCAACTTCGCAAATCTTTTGCAATTTCGCCACTGCTGAAATCCATGCGAGTTCAGAGCACCCAGGTGACGAACTTCGTCATTCCCCCATCGCCCACTTCTCATCGTTCCCCCGCAGTTTCAGCGGGAACTAGATTCATGAATCACAAGTTCAGATCAGGCAGGCTCCTCGTACCCATGGAAATTCAACCTCACGCAACAATAAACATTCGCGACTTGACTTGCAGACCTAATTTTCAAAAAAGATTCTTTGCTCCTGTCGCCTATTCAGGAGCTCCCTTTGCATCCAATTCGCCGTGCATGTACCGTAGCTGCAGCGTCGATCGCTCATCTGCCGACGGGCTGTCTCACGCTGATGTAGCTCTGTGATGCCGCACTTGACGACACGGAATGCCGTTTACGTTCATCTTCCCTCTCCGCCGCCATCTGACTGTACCGCTCGTTCTGGTGGCTAGACACGCCTGTAGCAGTAGACCCAGACACTGGCATGTCTGCCGAACCAAACGTGCCCATCGAACCACCCGTGGCTGCCGAACCAGACGTCCCTGCCGAACCGAACGTGCCTGCCGAACCAGCGATGCCCGCCGAACCAGCCTCCCCAGCCGAACCAACGGAGAAAGCTGAGAAGAGATCCCCGACCACGTTCTCGCCTTCCTCCTCCACCGTGTGAACCTGGATCATCGCGTCGAGCCGCCTCACCACGTCCTTCATTTCCGGCCGTCGGATCCCGGGCATCTTGATGCAATCAAGGGCCAGATCTGCGAGTTCCACGACGGCGTTCTCTGAGGCGTCCATGCGACGGTCCTTGAGCTCGTCGAGCGTGTAGCTCTGCACCAACTTGGTCGCCTGCGCGAAACACACGAAACGCATTTCGCGAAATTGAAGCACAGAGAACCAGAGACAATAGTGAAGAGGGGAAAGAAAAGAAGTGGTGCGCACCCATTTGCCGATGTGCGAGCCGCCGTCCACAGCGACCCGGCGGCCGCTGAGCAGCTCGAGCAGCACGACCCCGAAGCTGTAGACGTCGCTCTTGGTGGTAACCAGCTCCGTGCGATTGTAGTCCGGATCCACGTACCCCGGCGTGCCCGCCACCTTGGTCGCCCTCCCCTCGCCCTCCCCGTACTTTAGCTTCCTCAGCAGCCCAAAGTCCGCCACCTTGGCCTGAGAGGGGGGGGGGAGGGAGGAGGAGGGAAGGGGGGAGTAGCAGGAGGTTGAAAAAGCCGCCGTTACCTTTCCTTGGCTTGAGCTTTCTCAGGAAGCTAGAGTCTGCTTATTTGGCCAGAGCGAGTGGGGGCGGGGAAGGTGGCATGCGTGTGTTCTTAGTGCCTCAAAGATGGCACTGTGAGGTGTTGCCAAGCACAGCTGGGGTCACAGTGAGGTGCGGCAAGCCAAGGCGAGAGGGTGGAGGCTCACAGTGAGGTTTTCCCCAACGAGGATGTTGGCGGGCTTGATGTCACGGTGAATGATCCCCTGAGATGATGTTAGTCACTGAGGTTGTTACTTAGCAGCAATCAGTTAAAGACTCACAGTGAGGTTGTCCCCGACGAGGATGTTGGCGGGCTTGATGTCGCGGTGAATGATGGGATTCTCAAAGCCGTGCAGATATGCCAACCCCTCCGCTGCCCCCACCGCCAGCTTCAACCGCTGCCGCAGGGAAAGTGGCTCTGAGGAGGACAAGCGGGTGGGAGGGGGTGGGAGAGTTGGACAGAGTGAGTGGAGAGGGTGGGGTGGGTGGAGAGTATCAAAGCTTAGTTCAGTCCCTGTAGCAGAGACGGGCAATTTGCGTTCTAACTCTGTTCTGTGGCATGAATGTGATCATCAGCACACTCTGCTCTGTGGCATCTCAGCACACACTCAGCACACACTCACTCATCTCAGCACACACTCAGTCTGACGCATCTCAGCGCACTCACTCTGAGTCTTGAAGAGGTGGAAGGAGAGGTCGCCATGCTGTACGAACTCATACACGAGGATCTGCTCCTGCCGGCCGCTCTCCATGTCCATGTCGTGACAGAACCCCAGCAGCCGTACCAGGTTGGCATGATGCAGACTGGCCATGGCTCGCACCTGGGGGGGAGTTGAGGAGCACAGGCATGGAGGGTTCAAAGACGCAAAGGAAAGACAATATGCACGACCAGGTTGGCATGGTGCAGACCTGCCACCAATGAGGAGCCAAGGCAAGGGAACCGATTCGCGAGAAGAACAGGTGCCAGCCTCCTAGACAGCCCATGCTTCCGTTCTGTACTCGCTACAAGCCTCCCCACCTCCGTTTTGAAGTAATCGGACATGAGAGTGATTCTCTTGACAGCCGAGCTGCCCAGTGGCGGGGTTGACGCCCTTGTACATGACAGTGAAGCCCGCCTCGCCCACCCAACACATTCTATACTCGCTACAGGCATCCTCACCTCCGTTTCAAAGTCATTTGACATGAGAGTGATCCGTTTGACAGCCCATGGCTGCCCATTAGCGGGGTTGATGCCCTTATACACAACAGCGAAGCCCCCCTCGCCCAGCACATTCTCCTCTGCCCAGTCGCTGGTGGCCTTGCGCATCGTGGCGATTGAAAACTGCTGACACACGTCCAGGTCTCCCCAGTGCTCTGGAAGGAGGAGGGGAGAGGGAGGGAGGAGAGTGGGGTTGAGAGCAGGACAATAAAGTGCGATTGATTGGGGATTGAGAGGGAAGGGGTTGAGTGAAGGACATGAGGGCAGGGCCGAGGTGTGGCGATGGAGAACTCCTGAGACACGTCTAGGTCATCCCAGCAGGGGACAGTGGCGAGGGAAGAGTGGGGGAGATACGAGTGGGAGAGGGGGTGAGAGAAAGGCATGGTGGGGGTGAGAGAAAGGCATGGTGGGGGTGAGAGAAAGGCATGGTGGGGGTGAGAGAAAGGCATGGTGGGGGTGAGAGAAAGGCATGGTGGGGGTGAGAGAAAGGCATGGTGGGGGTGAGAGAAAGGCATGGTGGGGGTGAGAGAAAGGCATGGTGGGGGTGAGAGAAAGGCATGGTGGGGGTGAGAGAAAGGCATGGAGGGGGTGAGAGAAAGGCATGGTGGGGGTGAGAGAAAGGCATGGTGGGGGTGAGAGAAAGGCATGGTGGGGGTGAGAGAAAGGCATGGTGGGGGTGAGAGAAAGGCATGGTGGGGGTGAGAGAAAGGCATGGTGGGGGTGAGAGAAAGGCATGGTGGGGGTGAGAGAAAGGCATGGTGGGGTTGAGAGAAAGGCATGGTGGGGGTGAGAGCTTAGTTGGTCATTTACGTTTACGTTTACGTACGTACGTGTACGGGCACGTACGTTTACACGGCTGTTGGGTTGGAGGCCTAATGTACGAGCAGGTGAAAAAATTTCTGGGCTGCCCGAATATGTATATTTTTTCTCTAGTACTCCCTCGTAATCATGATTTCCATCATATAGTGTAAACATTCCATTACAACCTCGTAATTTACCAAATAACAAAAATACCATCATGCGAATTGGTTTGACTCGACGTTGGGATTCGCCGAAACCAGTGAAGGTCGGCGGTGACGAAACTGCCGAGCGGGTGACATTCGCTTACCTTGCAAGCGAAGCAATCGCGATCTGAGTCAAACTGTTCGCAATGTTCTATCGCGAACAGTTTGTACACATTCAGATCTACTCCCACCACAATTTCCTCCCTCCCTCTCTCGACAGACTTAGCTATCGTAGTTCTACCGCCTTAGTCGACATAGTACGTAGGGTAGACGCCACACCATGGCAACCCTAGCTAGCAACCGTCCTGTTTCTTACATTGCTACTTTTCGCGGCGTACTAACATGCTAACATAGCACAGGTCGTCGAAAGCTTTTTTATTTTTTAGGTTTTCGGAAACCGTTTTCAAAGAATTTTCTAGGGATTTTTTTTTACCTGCCCGGCGTATGTACACGTACGTACGCGTACGTACACGTAAACGTACATGTATGCGCACGTTACGTGTACGTGGGCTGAAATGGAGTAAATGACCAACTTAGGGTGAGAGAAAGGCATGGTGGGGGTGAGAGAAAGGCATCGGGGCTGATGTGACTTTTGAGGCGCCTGAGGTGTGTGTGGTGATGGAGAGCTCCTGACACACGTCCAGGTCGTTCCACCGCCTTGGGGGGTGGGGGAGGGAGAGGGATGGTGAGGAGCTGGAGGAACGGAATGGGGGTGGGGGTGAGAGCAGGACAATCAGGAACGATGTGTGGCGATGGAGAGCTCCTGACACACGTCCAGGTCGTTCCACATCCACTGCATGGTCGGCACCTCGCTTGCCCTGAACTCACGTCCGTGTCGTCCCACCGCCCAGGGAGGAGGGCGTCTAGAATGTGCCCGGGAGAAGAGGGGAGGAGAGGCAGACAGTGGGGGTGGTTGGGAGTGGGGACAGCGGCAGGTAATCAATGCATCACCTTCTCTCAGGGATAGATGAAGGCGAGGCCTGAGCCTGAGAGACTTATCGGACAAGGTGAGTTCATTTTTGGGCTTGCCTTGTGATGTGGCTAGCCTTACCTCCTTGTGGTTGTGGCACAGCACCTCGTACCAGTTATCAATTGGACTGTGTGGAAGTACTTACTCCCCTGCTGGGGCCGTGCACGATTCTTAGCCGCCTAAAAAGATGCCTCAATTAAACGTTTCCTCGGGCGCCTCAAAAGCCGGGCTTGTGGGGAAACTTACTTCTCCGTTTGGGGCGCAGAAGGAGGAAGAGCACAGCTGCGAGCAGAGCGAGCCCCACGAAGCAACTGAGGGAGATGCCGACTATGGCTGCTGTGGAGAGCGATGACGTGGTGGCTGCGAGATTGGGGAGGGCAAGGAAGGGCACGAGGGAAAGGGAGCGTTGAGGACATGAGTTGAGGAGCCTGAAGGGCTGCAGAGCATAGTTGGGCAAGGAAGCAGCGGAGGGGGATGTAAAGAATGGCCGCTGTTGAGGCTGTAAGCATGTGAAATGCCAGCAGATCCTGAATACACATTTGAGGCGGCTAAGAGGCAGAGAACTCACTTCCAGTGGCGAGGGCGCAGGTGGAGCCATTGGCATTGGTGACACTGACGTATGGCGCCTCACACAAACAACTCGCCCCACCCGAACTCGCAAGTAGGCTCTGGATTGCCTATCTTATGATGTTTCACTCACTCTCAGTGGCGAGCGCGCACGTGGAGCCATTAGAGACGGTGACAGTGACGTATGGCGCCTCACACAAGCACCTGAACACGCCAGTAGAATCCCCCTGCTCTGGCGGCACACACGCCCCCCTCCCATTGCACGGGCCCAGGTCCGTCACACTGCAGAACGCCGCGCACTCCTCTGCACCCCTCTGCACCTCCGTCACAGCACACTTAACCTGCCGGTTCACCGACAGACAATTCCCCTTATAGCTCGCCTGCACAGCAGCATACGCCCGCACACACTGCAGATCCGCCCTCTGCGAATTTGAGTCCCCGCGCTTGTTCCCCCCGGCGCTGTCCCCCAGAGAGTTCAAATCTGACATGTTGATTCGGGTGGTGCGGGGGGTGGGGCACGCCTTAAAGCCCCCCGCGTACACGACGGGGTCTCCGTAAAAGTAGTTGTGGGCGAGGTTGATGACTGCTGGCGTGCTGACCCCGTCCGTGGGTGTGGGGTTCATGCCAATGAAATCGAGGTTGATTGGGCCGTAGAAGGAGTTGTTGCTCATATCGCTGGGTGGGGGAGGAGAGAGGGGGGGAAGAAGGGCGGCTTTAATGGCATAATTGGTTCATGCCTATGAAATCGAGGTTTATGGGGCCGTAGAAGGAGTTGTTGCTCATGTCGCTGGGGGGAAGAAGGGGGGGAGGGGGGAGGAAAGGGGAGTGGAATGGGGAAAGTCGCTTTTGAGTCACAAAAGTGACTCCATCCAACATAGACCGAGTTGCTGTTCAAGTCGCTGAGGGGACGGGGCGGAGGAAGGGGGGAGTGGAATGGTAGGCATTCCAGTGGTTGTGAGATGCAGTGGCAGAAGAGGGATGGCGTGTAGGGAATAGGGTCACATGGCCTGGTTGAGGGTCTGAGCGGAGGTTGAGACGAGGGCATGCACGGAGATGAGCGCTCACATGTAGTTAAGGGCAGGGAAGTCGAAGAAGCAGGTGGGGAAGCTGCCGTAGAGTCGATTGTTGTGCACGGCACTGCAAGGTATGGAATTGCACGGCACTGCAAGGTATGGAATTGCACGGCACTGCAAGGTATGGATTTGCAAGCCTTGACACCAACACTAACTTACATTGAAAGAAACTAGGAGTTGTAGAAACTTGAGGAAGAATCATTTTTAAATTAGCTCAAGAGAGCACAAGGTTATACAAGGGAGAGAAGGTTGGAGAAGAACACCAAACCTAGCACATAAGACACCAAGACCAAGTAGGCTAGTGGGAGGAAGGACCATCCAACCAACCCTAGTGGGGTGGTGGCCAACCAACCAAAGGTGGTTGCCCCATTTGACCAACAAGGTTGGAGCCAAGTCTAAGCTATGATATTTGGGTGTCTACCCGCAATACACCCAAAACTAGAGCCTGAACCAACCCAGCTGTACACCACTCTTGGTGTACAGTCAGAAGTGTTCGCATTGCTATAATATATAAATTCTAACACAACCCCTTAGCATGCGAACACATGAAGAGAACAACCCCTGAATCAGGGGGCGCCTGGGCGAGCAAGGCCAAGGAGGCGGAGCAAGGCAGAGTGCGCAGGGCGAGAGAGAGCTTTGGTGAAGATGTCAGCCAAGTTTGCCACAGCCGTAATTTTCCGAATGGCAAGAAGTCCTTGCTGGACGAGCTCGCGGATGAAGAAATAGCGCAACTCGATGTGCTTGGAGCGGGCATGGTAGACAGGGTCCTGGGTGAGATGGATGGTGCTGGCGTTGTCACACCAGAGAGTGGGGCAACGCTGAGGAGCGCCCAGCTCAGCAAGAAGATAGCAGAGCCAGCGGGACTCCTGAGAGCGGCCATGGTGCCAGCGTAGAGCTCAGCCTCGCACAAGGAGAGAGCAATGGCAGAAGAACGCGTGGAGCGCCAACTGACAAGGCCGCTGCCAAGGGTGAAGCCATAGCCCTGAGAGGAGCGGCGGTCCGGCTGCGAGTCAGCCCAGGAGGAGTCGCTGAAGCCCGAGAGGAGAGGAGGGGAGGGGCCGCCAAGGGTGAGGACATGGTCCTTGGTCCCGCGAAGATAGCGGAGGACTCGCTTAGCGGCCTGCCAGTGCTCGGTGGTGTGGCGGCCGGTGCCAACAAAGCGCGCTGATGGGGTAGGCAAGGTCGGGACGGGTGCACATCATGGCATACATCAGCGACCCAACAAGCTCGGCATAAGGGTGAGAGGAGGAGGAGGGAGAGGTGGGTGGGGCGAGCTGGTGATCGAAAGGTAGAGGGGTGGACACAGGCTTGGCCTGCGCCATCTCGAACTTCTCCAAGACCTGGCCGATGTAGTGGGACTGGGAGAGAGTGATGGTGCGAGCAGGGCGGTTGCGCGTGATGGCCATGCCCAGGTAGTGCGTGAGGTCGCCCAGGTCCTTGCATTTGAGACGCTGCTGCAGCAACAGCTTCATCTGCTCCATGTCAGCCTTAGAGTCAGAAAGCAGGATCATGTCGTCCACATACACCAGAATGAAGAAGCGGCGAGGGGAGGAGCGAATGAAGAGGTTGGCGTCAGAGTGCGAAGCAGAGAAGCCGAGGGACCCCAAGGTGGCAGACAGCTTCGCATGCCACTCCCTTGGCGCCTGTTTCAAACCGTAGACAGGGCGACGCAGCTGCCACACAGTGTTTTCAGGAAAGACCGCGTGGAAACCAGGGGGCCGCCGGAGGAAAATGCGCTCGTGTAGGTCACCCTGTAGGAACGCGTTGGAGACGTCCATGGAGCAGATCTCCATGTTGTCCCGCGCACCAATGTCGAGGAGGGTGCGAAGGGTGGGCGGCTTGGCGGTGGGGGCGAAGGTGAACCAGTATTCTTCGGCCCAAGTCTGCGTGAAACCCTTGGCGCAGTAGCGTGCCTTGAAGACTGGCTCCTCACCCGGCAGCCGCTTCACCCGAAAGACCCATTTGCCCTCGACGAGGTTGGCGTCGGCTGGGAGGGGGACATCGACAAAGGAGTCGTTGCGAATGAATGCCTCACACTCCAGGAAGATCGCCGCTATCCATTTATCCGCGTCAGTGCAGGTGATGGCCTCTTGGAAGGTGGTGGGAGTGAAGATGGTGGGAGTGCAGGTGGCGCCAAGGACGGGAAAGCCGAGGAAGTCAAGGTAGAGGGAGGCAAGGAAAGGTGTATGTTGCCGAATGTTGAGCAACTACTCATGGGAGTCCTCGAGGAGCTGAATGGAGGCCAGGGGAGGGGCTCCAATGAGTTTGTCCAGGGAGCGGGTGTGCATGCGAGGGAGGAGGAAAGGGGAGGAGCGGCAAGTTGCGCGTCGCTGTTGCTGATGCTGGTGCTGCTGCTGCTGCTGCCCCGGCTGCTGCTGCTGCTGCACCGGCTGCTGTTGCTGCCGCTGTCGCTGCTGCCCCTGCTGCCCCTGGTGGTGGTGGTGCTGCTGCTGCTTGTGCGGCTGCTGCCCCTACGGCTGAGGGGGAGAGTGAGAGGAGGAGGGAGAGGGGGGAGGGGGTGCAGCTGAATGCGCAGGAGAGGCGGGTGCGGAAGGGTCGTAGATGTCGGCAGAGGAGGAAGGTGGGAGCGGAGCGGCGACCGGTGGAAGGAGGGGTGCAGGAGGGAGGGGGGGTGGGAGGACGGTATCAGTCCAAGCCAGGGGGCGGGAAGGAGGGGGAAGAGGGCCAGGAGGAGGAGTGGAGTAGTAGGGAATGGACTCGTCGAAGACGACGTCAATGCTGCGGATGAGGCGACTGGAGGGAGGGTGGAGGAACAGGTAGCCGGGGGAATCGCGATTGTGCCCGAGGTAGACGCACTCCAGGGCACGCGAGGCGAGCTTGCCAGCAGCGCGGGAGCGATCAGCCGGAGGGATGAGGACGAACGCCTTGCAGCCCCAAACGCGAAGGCCAGCAGCGTCAGGCTTGGCCTTAGACCAAAGTTCTGTGGGGGAGGAGGAGGAATGCTGAGGGTGGGAGCGGAGATTAAGGAGGAGGGCAGCATGGAGGAGGGCATAGCTCCAGAGGGAAGGAGGGGTGGAGGCGTGAGCAAGAAGACAACGAGCAATCTTGGTGATCTCACGAATGCGACTCTCAGCGATGCTGTTCTGCTGAGGGGAATGGGGGAGGGTGTGGGTCTGCTGAATGCCTCGGGTTTTGCAGTAAGTGGCGAGGGTATGATTGAGGAATTCACCCCCACCATCAGAGTGAAGGCGGCTGATGGGGCGTTTAAAGTGTGTGCGGCACTGCTCAGCCCAGGCAATGACCACAGCCGGCACTTGATCCTTTGTGTGAAGGAAGAAGACAGTAGAGTACCGACTGTGGTCGTCGACGAGGACGAGCATGTACCGGTGCCCCTGGCGAGAGCGGATGGGATAAGGGCCCCACAGGTCCATGTGAACAAGGTCAAGGGGAGCAGCTGCGAAAGTGGGATGGCTGTGATGGGGAGACTGTTTGCGTTTGCCATGAATGCAGGATGGGCATGGGTAGACATGAGCAAAAATTCGAACCTCTGTTCGGTTCGACTCGAACGTGTTCGACTGTTTTTTTTGCCCAAAATTGTTTGTGACGAACACCTTGGTGTTCGTCACGAACATGTTCGACTGTTCGAGTGTTCGAGTGCAGAAAAATGCATGAACTCCAAGGTGTTCGGGAACATAATGTGTTCGTCTCGAACACCTAGGCGTTCGAGGGAAAATTCAGCGTGTCAAAGTATGAGACGCTGGTTGGATCTAAAAGGGGAGGGCAACGATTGAGCTCAAGAATGAGCTCAATCGTCGATATAGCCTAAGGATGACATTCCGCCCCCTACCCACTAAAACTACCACATTCCCACGATCAAAATTCCACATTGTGGCTGGAAACGTTAGGTATAAGGTTGGATTAGGGTAGGAGACAGTTAAAAATAGGTACTAAGTGCATTTCGGTTTAGGTTGGAGTTTAGCAAGGCGAAATTGGATATCCACCAGATCTGCGCCAAGCCTAGATATATCTCTTGTAGGGCTATAGGAAACGTGATATTGCTTCTAGTACACTCGCCCTGCCTTAATGTGACTATACTGAAAGAACCCCCCAAAGCAAACTGTTCGAGTTCGGGTCAAACACCTTAGTGTTCGGCCTTGGCTCAAAACTGTTCGACCCTATACTCGAACGGGGAACACTAACATTGAAGAAAATTGTTCGAGTCAAACGTGTTCGGTTCGGTTCGAATTGACCAAGTGTTCGCAAACTGTTCGAGACAAACGCGTTCGGTTCGCTCGTTGCTCATGTCTAGGCATGGGGGTGCGGAAGAGGAAGAGTGGGGGGGAGGCTGTCGAGGAGGCGGGATGTGATGGCAGTGCGAAGCGCAGCAAAGTTTGGGTGGCCTAGTCTGTGATGCAAGAGCACAGCAGGGTGGGAGAGTTGATTAAAGGAGGAGGGGGATGGAGTGGGGGAAGGAGAGGGGGAGGAGGATGAGGGGGATGACGTAGGGGAGGAGGATAACTGGGGGGGAGGGGTAGGGGGAGGGGGAGGGGGGCCGGTGGAAGTGCCAGCACGAGTGGTGACCTGACAGAAGGAGGGACGAGGTGTGCGGAGCGTGTAAAGGCGAGTGCGAGGGCAAAGGGGAATGCGTAGGAGGAAGCCACCAGAAGCAGTGTTGTAGAGATCACAGTAAGAAACATTACCAGGGTAAATAGCGGTAATACCAGCGCCTTGTATCTCACGGTGGGAGAGGAGGTTGTTGCGAAGGGTGGGGATGTGGAGACCTGTGACTGTACCAGATGGGAAAGCGGAGCAAGGTAGAGTGGAGAGGTGAGTGCATGGGATGGAAAAACTGGTGTCGGCACCGTGAACCTGAGTGGGAAGAGGAAGGGAGTGAGGGTGCCAGCATCCTTCAGTGCGGTTTCTGTGGCCCCACTATCAAGGACAAAGTCCAAGGTGGGGGAGGAAGGAGGGGGAGGTGACACGGTGTACTGGAAAAGCGTCTCATTAATAGCAGAGGGATACATGGAAGCAACAGACGGTGCAAAGGTAACATGACCAAGGAAACTGCCCTGGGTGTCAGAGACACTGGGGGGGGCAGAGGGGTAGCCAGAGTATGGCTGTTGCTGGAGAAGGGGCTGCTGTGGCTGGGGAGGATAAGGGAGGAGGGGGGGACCCAGGAATCCCGAGTGATGCTGTGGCCCCAGGTACTGCTGCTGCATAGGCGGAAGGCCCTGGAACCCCGGGTGCATCTGCTGCTGCTGAGGCTGTGGATCTGGAAGGGGGGGGAGAAAGACTTGCACCTGGTGCAGGAGGTGGGGAGGCAGGTGACTCGCCAGAGTCTGGTGGAGCTGAGAAGGTGGTGGCTGATAGGCGGGAAGTGTTCGAACGTCATGAACAGTGGGGCGAGGGGTAACAGTGGCCCAGCGAGGAGGGGTACCTGTATTTCCCCGAGCAAACCACTCATCACTGAGGGCCTTGAAGCAAGTTTCAGCAGGATGGGTGGTTTGGTTGCAGCGGTGGCCCTTGTTGGGGCCCTATCGAATGACATAGGAGCAAGGAGGGAAACCCCCTGAGCGTCCACCACGACCAGCACCCCCGTCACCTCCCGACGTCCCACCCGTAGCGCCACTGCCAGCCCCTCCACCTCGACCACCACCGCCCCCGCCACTCCCTCCACCACGACCCTTGCCACCACGCCCCCCACGCCCTCCGCGTCCCTGTGTGAGGTTGAGGGTGGAGGGGGACTGACGGGAAAGTTTGGCTTCAGTATCAAGGACCCATGTGGTGACTTCGGCAGCCGTGGCGTGGGGAGAGAGAACAATGTCGTAGGCGATGCGGTGCATCTCATAAGCCGGAGTGAGTCCCTCGAGGATGCGCCAAATGAGGAGGGGGTCGTCAATAGTGGCCCCACGCTCCCGAAGACGCTGAGCTGTGTTGTTGAGGCGACGGGTATAGTCAGCTGCGCCGGTGCAGTTGTCAAGGGGGATAGTGTTGAAGTCACGGTATAGGGCATGAAGAGATGCCATGTCCGGACAGTCATACAGATCACAGAGGGCGTGCCAGAGAACTGCAGAGGAAGTGGCGTCAAGCTTGCTCTGGAGCGTGGTCGGGATGCAGGAGTTGATGAGGCCAATAGCCCGAGTGTCGGCAATGCACCAGGCGGCATGGCGAGTGTTGAAATCAGTCAGTTGGGAGGTGTAAGACGTCTTATTGGCAGCGCACTTCGCATGAAGGGCGGCAGCCAAGGTGTGAGCAGCAAGGGCTGCCTTGTGGGTATCCACCAGTCGCGTGTGTGTCGCTACCTCCTCCGCGTAGGTGGTGAGGCGCGAGGCATTGGTGGTGTTGTCAGAAACGAGGCGAGGGAGATCGGGCGGGCGAGGTGCTTCGCCAGGATGGGGTGGTGGAGGAGGAGGTTCAAGACCAAGGAGGGGAGGTGGCTTGGGCTCAAGGCCATCCGGTTCGGCAAAGACAACGGAATGGAGGTTGACACCGCCAATAATGGTGGAGCGGAGGACACCGGTGAGGCTCTGTGAGAAACGGTGCCAATTCAGTGCAGTAGTGCCATCCTGGACTTCTAGGCGAACAATGGAGCCAGTATCATTAGGCACGGAGTCAGTCGCCATGAGTGCTGCTGCCACCGTTCAGCTCTGCTGCTGCTGCTGCCCAGTCACGCTGCCGCTGCTGCTGCTGCTGCCCAGTCACGCTGCTGCTGCTGTCCAGTCACACTGCTGCTGCTGTCCAGTCCTGCTGCTGCTGCTGTCCAGTCACGCTGCTGCTGCTGTCCAATGCTGCTGCTGCTGCTGTCCAATGCTGCTGCTGCTGCTGTCCAGTCCTGCTGCTGCTGCTGCTGCTGTCCAGTCCTGCTGCTGCTGCTGGCCAGACCTGCTGTTGCTGCTGCCCAGTCACGCTGCTGCTGCTGTCCAGTCACGCTGCTGCTGCTGTCCAGTCACGCTGCTGCTGCTGTCCAGTCACGCTGCTGCTGCTGTCCAGTCACGCTGCTGCTGCTGTCCAGTCACGCTGCTGCTGCTGTCCAGACCTGCTGCTGCTGCTGTTCAGCCACGCATCACGCTGCTGCTGCTGTCCAGTCACGCTGCTGCTGCTGTTGAGTCCCGCTGCTGCTGATGCTGCTGTGTAGGGATCCGCGTGAAATGCGGGGAGGGCCGCGCAGTTGCTCTGCAGGGCTCAGGTGGGTGCTGGAAGAGGTAGCACGATGGGCAGGGAGGCTCGCGTGGCTGGCGACAGGGGTGGTGTGACGCTTAGAGGGGCCCGTGCGACTGGGAGGAGGGGTGACGCGGCGGGCAGAAGGGCCTCCGCAGCTGCTGGCAGAGGTGCCGTGACGGTCAAATGAAGCAATGCGACCGCTAGCAGAGGATTCGCAACGATTAAAACGATCCGCGCGACTGTTGGTAGGGACTTCGCGACGATGAAATTGACCCGCGCGACTGCTGGCAGAGACTTCGCGACAGTGAAATTGACCCGCGCGACTGCTGGCAGGGACTTCGCAATGGTGAAATTGACCCGCGCGACTGCTGGCAGGGACTTCGCGACGGTGAAATTGACCCGCGCGACTGCTGGCAGGGACTTCGCGACGGTGAAATTGACCCGCGCGACTGCTGGCAGTGATTTCGCCACGGTCAAAGGGGTCCGCGCGACTGCTAATAGTGATGGCGCGACGGGCAGAGGGGTCCGCGTGGCCTGCGCGACCGTTTAGCAGAGGTGATGCGACGAGCAGGAGGGGCCCGCGCAGATGCTAACAGAGGCTACGCGACGAGCAGAGGGGCCCACGTGGATGCTAGCAGAGGCTACGGGACGAGCAGGAGGGCCCGCGCGGATGCTAGCAGAGTGGCGCGAAGAGTAGGGGGAGCCCGTTAGGTTGCTAAGAAAGGTCGCGACGTACTAAGGGAGGCCGCGCGACTTAGTCGGACGATTTCGCTTAGCTGCTGGAGTGTATAAGGGAAGATAGGAAAAACAAAGTTTAGGCCTAGGATCTAGTGGCGTTTGCCTTTGGCTCAGAATACCATGAAAGAAACTAGGAGTTGTAGAAACTTGAGGAAGAATCATTTTTAAATTAGCTCAAGAGAGCACAAGGTTATACAAGGGAGAGAAGGTTGGAGAAGAACACCAAACCTAGCACATAAGACACCAAGACCAAGTAGGCTAGTGGGAGGAAGGACCATCCAACCAACCCTAGTGGGGTGGTGGCCAACCAACCAAAGGTGGTTGCCCCATTTGACCAACAAGGTTGGAGCCAAGTCTAAGCTAGGATATTTGGGTTCACCCCAATTAGGGTGTCTACCTGCAATACACCCAAAACTAGAGCTTGAACCAACCCAACTGTACACCACTCTTGGTGTACAGTCAGAAGTGTTCGCATTGCTATAATATATAAATTCTAACATACATGCCTTGAGCCACACTCTCGCATGGGCACTGACAGTGACGCTGACAATGACGCTCACAGCAACTCACATGGCTTCTAATGCCGTGAGGTTGCAGATGCCTGCAGGCAGCTCCCCCTCCAATGCATTGCCATCCAACAGCCTGTGGCACACATGCCATGGGATGGGGTACGCATGGGGTGGGTATGGGGTGAGCATGGGGTGAGGTGAGCATGGGGTGAGCATGGGGTGAGCTTGGGCCAGGATGGGGTGGAGAATTCTAACGTAGAGAGCCAATTGACACAAGATACATGGTAGAAGCCAGAGGCCATGCCAAGAAACCAAATGGGGAAGGCACAGCAGTGACACAACACATTCCGTGAACCGAGAAGAAGCAGGGACGCGGAGAGGGGATTGGAGGTGAGGGTGCTGAAGGTTGTGAAAACTGGAGGTTGGGGGGGCTCACAGCTGGACGGTGGCCTTCAGTTCCCCCAGGAACTCGGGGAGTGGGCCCGAGAGAGAATTGTCTGCCAGCCACCTGTGGGCAGAGGGTCGAGAGCAGGAGAGGTGGGGAGAGAGGGCGAGGGGAGAAGGGGATGACGGGTGAAGGGGTAATGGAAGCAGGCAGGTGCGTAATGACCGACACAAGGCATGGTGCATAGTGTGTGCGGCCAGGGAGTAACACACATGAGTAACCCTGGGCATGGGACTACAGGGTCTGAGACACCTCACATTGCAGAGCAGCTATGTTGAGGCGGGGGAGAGGACAGGCCACTCACAGCACGTTGAGCTTCTTGAGTGCTGCGAGGCCTGAGGGGAGCGAGCCCGCCAGCTGGTTGCCCTGCAGCGTGCTGGGCGGCAGGGCGGGCACAGGGTAGGGAGTGCGGTCGAAGGGTGAAATGAAAGGGTGTGGTGGAAGGTTCAGGGATAGTAGAAAGAGACCAACCAAAGCAAGGAGGACCGAGAGAGAGATGTAGAGTAGAGGTTGTAAGGAGTTTGTGTAGGGTGTAGGGAGTGCGTACAGGGTGTAGAGGGAGGAGAGAACGCTGATGGAATCGGGTATGGGACCCGTGAGGTTGTTGAAACCAAGGTACCTGCACGTGTGAGGTGCAGGGGGGAATAGAGGGAAACGAGAGGGAGGATCGAGGGACGTAAATGGTGTTTTCCTAGCAAGAAACAGCAACAAAAAAAAGGGGGGAATGGGGAGCAAGACGAAAGGTTAGGAGCAAGGGAGCAGCCCACGATTGAGTTTGATAGGGTGAAAGACGATATGTGAGGACTTCAGGGCGTTATAGCAGGCAGTCAGGCTGTTACGGCGGGTTATAGCAAAAGGCTGGCAGTGAGGGCGAGGGCGCACAGGGCAGAGTGGGCCTTTGGGATGACTTAAGGGACTGTGACGCGAACAGGGTATCAAATGGCTTCTGAGAATTCTGAAATGCGGCCAGGCCATTCTGAAAAGGGCGTACAGAGCATTGAGCGTGGTGTTGCGCCAGGTGTTGAAGTCTGGAAGGGGCCCTGACAGGCTGTTGCCCTCCAGCTTGCTGGAGTCGCGTGGGGTGGGGGAGAGGAGGGTGGGACAGATTGTGGAGCCTTGTATTATGGCTCCAACGTGGAAAAGCGAGGTGAGTCGACGGGGTGGGGGCATGGAGGGTGCCGAGGGTGTCAACCTGGAAGAGAACACAACACAGAAAGAGGATTTTTCTCAACAGGAAACTGGGAAAAAGTAATCAGTGGTGGTGTGTACCGAGATTAGCATGGTAGCCTGGTTACGTGGCAAACGTGGTAACATGGTAACATATTTACAGCATGGCAAGAGAGGTGCTTGTGCTGAGGTGGGGAGGGAGAGAGCCCTGCAGATTGTTGTATGCGAAGGAGCTGCAGGCAGAGAGGGACGATGGAGAGAGGGCAGAAAGCGGAAGAGAGGGTGCAGAGAGCACACATTGAGCATACAGTAGTAGCATTGAGTGTCATGGCAATTCATGTTTCAATGGCAGCATAGGCATTGTCATGATATGTTGTTTCCATGCCGTCAAGCATGCCACGTCATCTCAGGCAGGCCACGTCATCTCAGGCATGCCACGTGGCAGACAGACAGCATGCTCACATCTCGTTGATGTTGGGTGAGAGGAAGAGGCCGGGAGGGATCTCCCCCACCATGTGGTTGCGATCAATGTACCTGGTGGTGGTGCCATGGGGGGTGGTGTGGCATGGGATGGCAGGCATGGCATCGCATGGCGTGGCATGGCACGGCATGGCATGGCATGAGATGGTGTGGAAAAGTGGGTCATAGGGTATGGGATGTGGTTCACGATTGATAAGAGATTATGGTATGGTGCATGAGCAGGGAGTGGGACCAGAGGGTCTATCATGGTAATACATACGACATTGGGTTCACGGTGCATGGTGAGTAACATAAGTCAAGGTGCATGAGTGAAAGAGCAGAGGGAGCAGGGACGCACAGGTACATGAGGTTTTTGAAGGAGGAGAGCTCGGTTGGGAGGGGTCCTTCAAAGTTGTTGTATGAGAGGTCTCTGCTTGGACGTGCAAAGAGTGCCAGGAGGGCAAGGAGTGGGGGGGGTGATTCTCTTTTCGAACTCTCAAAACACGCTAAGGAGTGCAACGAGCGGAAGGGGCAGACGGGGCAGAAGGGGCAGAAGCGGTAGAAGGGGCAATGGGATGCGGAACAGGTGAAATGTGAGACAAGCAATGTGATGCAATAAATCTTTGGTTCTTTGAGAAAAAAAAAAAAACTTAGGCAAGCAGCGGATTACGGTTGGTACGAGGAAATGGGTAGGCATGAGGATGAGCCCCAGCTGGGTGAAAACTAGCAGGCTTTTGAGTCGACTCAAACGTCAGCTAGGGTTGGTGCAAAGATTGCGTACATTTTGAGAATTCTCAAAAGTCAATCAAAAGAGCGTACATGAGCCCCAGCTGGGTGAGGGCCAGCAAGACAGATGGGAAAGTTCCCCCAAAGTTGTTATACGCAAGGATGCTGCAGTGCAGGGGCGCGGGCAGTTTCGGGGGGAAAATCAATGTATGGTACAATACACTTCACACTCGGGCAGTTGTACTCAAGACTGTGGCAGAGGCAAAGGAACGCCACATGCACTGCAATTTCGCATGGATGAATGGCACATCACACTCCCACATTTTTGGAACGCTTGATGAGGATGGGGACAGGGGTGTTGATCAATGGGAGGAACAGCAATGGACGGCGGTGCGCACTGGCATGGAAGAACAGTCAAAGGACAATGTTCAATGCACACACAACAGGCCATACCACCAACTATCACAACTTCCCTTACCACCTTCCCCCCACGGTCATGCCCTCTCACCACACGCACATGCTTTCATTGACTGCCATGAGCTATCGCAATAAAAAATAATCCCATTACATGAACGCTCTGACCATGCACTTGCACTTGCATGCGTGAAACCGGTGCTCATCGCAAGGACCACTTGGGCAACGCACAGGGCATCGAGGCTGGTGAGGCGGGAGAAGGAGGCGGGCAGAGAGCCAGAGAAGCTGTTGTTGGTCAGGTCCCTAGAGGGGCGAGCGGATGGGTGGGTGGAGGGATGGTGGGGAGAAGGGGCCGAGCAGGGAAGGAGATCCAAGGGAAATAGAGTTAGGAGCGATTGGGACGATTGGAATGATAGGAAGGTGCTTGTGATTAGAAATCTCAGACAAAAAGAGGGCATCCAGCATGCACCCACTCCGTCTTGGGGCGTGAAGCCGGGATTGGTCACTCACAGCATGTAGAGCCAGTCCATTTGGCTGGGCACGTCCAAGCCTGCAGAGAGGAAGTTGCCCATGAGGAAGCTGCGCGTAGAGAGGCGGGGACAATGATGGACGATGCAGATGGATGCAATGCAGCTGATGGATGCAGCTGATCAGCTTCATACAGAGACTGCAGGCAAACGGGGTGAGCTGATTTGCACGGACACAAGGAGGGTGAAAGAGGATGTTAGGAGAGAGGGGTGGGAGAGAAGGTAAGGAAAGACGGGCGGGAGAGGAGGGTGGGCAAGTAGGGTCAGAAAGAAGAAGGTTGCGTGGGCGATAGGGCGGAGGATCAGAGAGGTGGGGGAAGGGATGGAGGGGAACGAACAGTTGAGTGAGGCCAGTGAGTGCTGTGAGGTGGGCGGGTATGGCTCCTGTGAAGGCGTTGCTGTTCAACTCACTGTGGGCGCATTGAGGGGTGGGGGGAAGAGAGAGGGGAGAGGAAGAGGGTGAAAGGTCAAGGCTGAGAAGGAGAGGGTGAAAGAGATGGTGATAGGTGGGGGGAGGAGGAAAAGGAGACGGGGACTGGGAATGGGTGAGCGACAGTGAGAGCACAAGAGCAGAGGGGTGGACGACTAACGGAATTGCGCATGTGGCAGAACTAAGACGCGCAGAGGGGGCAGAAGGAGTGGGAGCACGAGCACAAGGAGCAGAGGGAGCAGGAGGCTGGGGACGGACTGACAGGTTGGTGAGCAGAGTGAGGGAGCCGAGGAAGGAGGGAATGCTGCCCTGGAACCTGTTGCCCCTAAGCTGCCTGCCAGTGGTGTGGTGCATGCAGGGCAGAGCCTTTCGAGAAGCTTGAAAAAAAACCAAAATTGATTGCCTGCCAGAACCTGCCTGTTGTGTGCAGTGCAGCGCGGTGCAGAGCTTTTGAGAATGTTAAAGAAGGACTTGGTGCCTGGCAGCAGGTTGACAGTGGGTGCAGAGGCAGGCAGGCTGGAAGCAACAATGTGCAGTGGTAAGCAATGGGGGCACCAAGTGGTCTGGCACACACTGCAGTGCAGGGAAGGGAAGGCAGAGGGCAAGGCACTCCCACTGATTGCAGCACTCACACTGATTGCAGCACTCACACTGATTGCAGCACTCCCACTGATTGCAGCACTCCCACTGATTGCAGCACTCACACTGATTGCAGCACTCACACTGATTGCAGCACTCACACTGATTGCAGCACTCACATCACACTGATTGCAGCACTCACATAGGGGGATGGGCATGGCATGGGTACAGTAGTCACATGGGGGGAAGTGCATGGCATGGGTACAGCACTCACAGTGACTCGAGGGTGGTGCTGAAGACGTCAGGCAGCGACCCTGAGAGCTGATTCAAGTTGAGGTTGCTGTTGGTGCATGGGTGGGCGTGGTGGTAGGGGTGAGACGCATGTATACCCACATGCACATCGATTTGCATGCGCATGCACACATCGGCACATGCACACAAGACCACATCCATGCATTGCCACATGCATGATGCAGATATAGCTGAGCGGCACATGCATGCACCTCACATGTATGCATGAATCTTACATGCATGTTCGGAGCTGCAAAAGCTCAGGGGAAACTCACAGGGTCTTGAGCGAGCGGAGGGAGGAGAACTGGCGAGGGATGGACCCCGCCAGCTGGTTGTACTGGAGCGACCTGCACAGAGGGCAAGGGGGGAAGAGGAAGAGGGCGTGGGGAAGAAGGCTGCTCCTCAAAAGAACAGCAGCGATGGATATGATATGATGGTATCTGTTGAGAAGACTCTCCAAAGGGATGATGGAATGTGGGACTGCCTGCCTGCCGCTGATGAAAACCAGCAGAAGCTAGCTGTGCACTGTGCTGTGCACTGTGCTGTGCAGCTTGTAGCGCGGACAGAGTGGGTCACTCACAGCGTGGTGAGGTTGGTGAGGGACGCCCACGACTCAGGCAGGAAGCCCACCAACCCGTTGCCATTGGCCTTGCTGTGGTGGACCATGGGCGGGTGGGCCATAGGCAGGTGGGGGATCGGTGAGTGGTGGGAGGGTGGGGGGATGGGTAAAGGGACAGCAGGAGAACGCCACTATCCTTACTGCACAGCACATCTCAGACGTATGCTGCCTTTCGGTCATGTGGCTTACTAAGCTGAACGTTCATGTGCGGCTGGCGTGGGGAGATTGATGCTCACCATGTGAATCTCACATGCATGCTGCACTGCACTACTGAATTGGGAGGCACAGGAGGGGCGGCACTGACAAGAACTCCAGGTGTGAGAGCAGCACAGGAGGGGCGGCACTGACAAGAACTCCAGGTGTGAGAGCAGCACAGGAGGGGCGGCACTGACAAGAACTCCAGGTGTGAGAGCAGCACAGGAGGGGCGGCACTGACAAGAACTCGAGATGGGAGAGCAGCACAGGAGGGGCGGCACTGACAAGAACTCGAGATGTGAGAGCAGCGAGAGGTCCTGAGGCACAGCCCCTGTGCGCAGGTTGGCCTCGTGAGTCACATCCCTGTGGTGGGTGGCACGATGCAAAGGGTGATGGAGGCACATTTACAAAGGAGGGGCACAAGGGGACGAGGGGCCAATGCGGAGGAACATAGGCGAGGGGCCAATGCGGAGGAACATAGGAGAGGGGCCAATGCGGAGGAAAGGGTGACGAATGCAGAAAGCAAGCATGCAAACCGAGTGAGTTAGATCTTCCAACCAGATCGATAGTTCCAGCCAATGTGTGTCTCGATTTCGCATCGCCGCAGTCCAGTACGGCACAGGCCAGTATGCGGACGTACAGGTATCGCAACTTGGAAAGCGCTGTGAGCCAGAAAGGGAGCTGCTTGAAACGAAGATAAGACAAGTCCCTGCAGGGAAGGGAAGGCAGAAAGTGAAACAGTGAATACATGGTGCCAGGATGGCAGACAGTGAAACAGTGAATACATGGTGCCAGGATGGCAGACAGTGAAACAGTGAATACATGGTGCCAGGATGGCAGACAGTGAAACAGTGAATACATGGTGCCAGGATGGCAGAGCCAGCAAGTTGAATGTTTGCGCTCAACATATAAGAATTCATAACTCAAAATTCAGGATACAAGTTTCAGCTTTCAATTGTGATGAAGCTTGATCAACGGTAGACACTGAGGCAGCAAGCAGCACAGGCACGAGAGGACAAGTAGAGAGCAGGCGAACGGGGGCACACAAGGAACAGAGTAGGTGAGAAACAGCGTGTGCTGGATGCTGTGGTGCTTACAGGTAGGTGAGGTTCTGCAGGAGTGCGAGAGAGACAGGTAGCTCGCCCCACATGTGCATGTCGCTGAATGTGCTGCGAGTGCGGGCAGTGAAGGGAGTGCGGGAAGGTGAAGGGCGGAGAGGGTAGACGGGGCGAGTCAGATTACGGAGAAGGCGAATGGGGAGAGGTGAAAGTGAAAAGCGGAGGGCGGAGAAGGGGACAGGTGAAGTTCGGAGAGCGGAGAGGTGAGGTAAAGGGGAGGTTGGGCTTGCAAAAGACGCGTCCTGCGTCTAGGACGCTTGCGTCCAGACGCAGCGTCTTAGAAGCAGGACGCTTCTATGGGGCATGTGAGACGCTGAAAAAGACGCATGCCCGGGCAGGGCAAAAAAAACGTCCGGGCAGCCAAAAAAACATGTTATAGGGCATGGGAAGGGGGGGGAGGACGACGTATCACACATGTGAGGCAAAAAGGTAGCTATGGAGCGAAAGGTAGCATTATGGAGCGAAAGGTAAATAAACCCTCTAGGGTTTACGAAGGAGAATTGTGTTCATATAAAGAGATGGAGCACAAATGAAGGGTTTGAGCTCCTAAATGGGCTTGGTGGTGGTCCACCATGGTTTGGTTTTCTAGATGTAGTTGGGTTGTGAGGGGTTGGGTTTACAATTTTGGTGATGGGGGGTTACAAATGTTGTGCGTGGGCTGTTTTTGATGGTCGGAATGGGTTAGGGCGGGTCCAAATGTCGCGAATTTGACAGTCGCGTCGAAATCGCGAATGTCAACTTCACGCTGGCGATTTTTTTTTCGGTCAGCCCGAAAAAAAAACCTCCATGCGTCCTGCGTCCCTGCGTCTGGACGCTGCGTCCAGACGCAGGACGCATGACGCGCCCTGCGTCTTTTGCAACATGGAGTGCTCCTTCGGGAAGCAGCTTGGCACACGGTAGTGGGGCACAGGGCGATAGGAGAGAGAGAGGAGAGGAGGGGGGAGTGGAGAGGAGGGAAGAGCGGAGAGACGGAGAGAGTAGCGTGGAGGGGAAAGATGAAAGGGGGGGAGGGAGGAGGGAGAGAGGGAGGGAGGGAGGGAGGGATGGACGGACGGACGGATGAAGGGAGGGAGGGGGGGAACTCACAGGCGGCGCAGAGAGTGGAGGGTGGAGAAGAGAGAGATGGTGGAGAGATCTCCAGTGATGTTGTGCGCACTGGTGATATCCCTGTGAGAGAGGCATGATGACGGGTGGGGGTGATGATGGGATGAGGGGTAGGTGACGAATGATGGAGAGTGGATAGCACCATGGGCGCATGGCATGACAGCATGGGCGCATGGCATGGCAGCATGGGTGGACGGCATGACAGCATGGGTGGACGGCATGACAGCATGGGTGGACGGCATGACAGCATGGGTGGACGGCATGACAGCATGGGTGGATGGCATGACAGCATGGGTGGACGGCATGACAGCATGGGTGGATGGCATGACAGCATGGGTGGACGGCATGACAGCATGTGGACGGCATGACAGCATGGGTGGACGGCATGACAGCATGGGTGGATGGCATGGCAGCATGGCAGAATGGAGTGCGCGAGGTGGGCACCAGGCGGGTGGTGGGATGACTCACAGAGAGTGCAGGTTGGTGAGGAGGGAGAGCCACGTGTACTGAGTCATGGCTCCCTTGAGGTTGTACACCTGCCGTAGCGACCTGAAAGGGGGCGGTGGGGGGGGGAGGAAAGGGGGGTGAGGGGGGGTTGGGAGTGTTGGTTGAGTCACCTCAATACCACGTGTCCTGCGACATGGCTCCCTTCAGGTTGCACACTTGCCGTAGCGACCTGAAAGGGCGGGGGGGGGGGGGGGGGGGGGGGGGGGGGGGGGGGGGGGGGGGGAGGGGGGGGGAAGGTTGGACAGAAGGGGGGGGTTTGTTGTGAGAGCATGAGCCGGGACGTTGGCACGATAGGTTGTAGAGTAGTGGGCGATTGTAAGGCGAAGGATTGCATTGGGTGATGGAAGATTGCGTTTGGAGACGGACGAATGCAATCTTAGAGCACGCTGGAGTTGAAGGGCGTGGTGAAGGAAGAAGATGTGCAGAGAAGGATGGCAGCGGGAAAGAGGAGAGGCGTACAGGTACGAGAGAGCGGAGAGTTGACTCATGGTGGCTGGGAGGCTCCCTGACACCTGTGTGAGAGTCAGGTCCCTGCAGCACAGCACAGCACAGTGGGGAGCGGAAGGTCAGGCGCTGTGATGTGCTGTGAAAGGTCGCACACGCGTGGTACGATACGACACAGGCAGAGAAAACTGTGTGGCGGTGAGTAATTGGCCGGGACAAGGATCAGCAGGCTTACAAGTGGCGGAGGTGCGAGAGGGAGGAGATGGCAGAAGGGATGGATCCACTGATCTGTGTGTTGGACAGGTCGCTGTGGAGAGGAGGGGGAATGATATCAGAGGGGTGGTGAGATGAGACGGGTGGTGGGAGGGGAGGGACAGAGTGCATATAAGAGACTGTTTTTTTAGGCGCCTCAAAAACTGATATGGGTGTTGGATAGGTCACTGTGGAGAGGAGGGGGGTGATATCAGAGGGGCGGTGAGAGAGGCAGTGTGCATGTGTTAGGGGGTGTGATAAGAGTGGTGGGTTGATACGAGAGAGGGGGTGAAGAGATGGAAGAGAGTGGATGAGAGAAAGAAGGGGGGCAGATGAGAGCCTTGGTGTGAGAGGAAGGCATGTTTGGTACTTGAAAGGGAGGGGGGGGAAGTCGTAGTACATGTCGAGAAGCTTCCATAAAGATGGTAAAAAAGAACCAGAAACGCATGGGCATGGGGAAGGTATGGATGGGCATAGGATGGTGCGGGTGGGAAGGCAGCGCAAGCATGAGGGCAGCAGGGTGCATGCGAGCAAGCTCACACTTGTTGCAGCAGCGGCAGCGATGTGAGCACGTTGATGGACCCTGTCAGATCCATGTTGTATGAGAGGTTCCTGGGGAGAGATGGTGAGATGATGCATGCATGCACACAGGGGGCATGGGTCATGGGGCATGGAGCAGGCCGGGCATGGGGCATGGGGAATGCAAAATGGGGCATGGGGCGTGGGGCATGCGGAATGAGGCATGGAGCATGAGGGAATGAGCCCGGCGGCGAAGCAGAGGGTGTACAGACATGAGGCGTGGAGTTGAGGGGGCACGAGGCATGGGATAAACGGGTTAGAAGATGGTAAGCGAGCCACTATTGAGATAAGGGATACAAGAAGAGGTGGCACAACCACCGGAATACAATACGACAAGACGTTTCCAACGTTTGAGCTTGACTCACAGGGCTTTAAGCTGCTTGAGCTGAGCGAATGCATCCAGTGGCAGGGCCTTGCTAAAATAGTTGTACGACAAATCCCTGCACGCGACGCCATGCCATAGCATACCATGCCGTGCAGCACCAATCCATGACCATGCAAGACGGGGCGAGCAGGAAAGAGGGAATGCGGGACAGAGATAAAGAGTGGACGGGGGAAAACGGGATAGAGAGAAAGAGTCAAAGCGGGAAAGCGGGACAGAGAAAAAGAGTGAAAGAGGGAAAAGCGGGACAGAGGGGGGAAGGGAACGACAGGGTACGGAAGTTGGTAGGCAGAGCACCTTCTGAATGAAGAAGTTACAACGAGGTGCATACTAGCTAAAGGCATGTTCAATGCAGTAAGTAATCAGTGTTCGCGCTACAGTCCCATCAACTGCAATGCGCCTGTGCTATGCTCGCTATGCTCACATTTGCTGCAGTGCATTGAGTATGCGAATGTCGGCGGGAATGACGCTTGATACACCCACACCGGCCACAGATCTGGGAGGGAGGAGGGAGGCCGTGGAGGGGAACGGGACGGAAGGGAAGGGCATGTGAGGCGAGAGAGGGGTGAAGAGCAATTCACGTAAGCAGCTCATTCCTGTAAAGGATGCTGATATGGAGATGAATTGTGCAACTTACACGTTACAGGCATAGCACCTAAGAGATGAATTGTGCAACTTAGCACTAGAACGTGAGTGACAAGAATACACGTTCAAGAATGCGACTCACATGAATCTAATGTACACGAATGTCACCATGAATGTCAATTTTCAGAAATAGAATCTTCTCAAAAGTCGTATCTACGCATGTAATATTCATGTCACTTTGGTAAGGTCATTTTCACGAATGCCATTCCCAAGAATGTCACTCACAGAGCAGTGACTCGGCCTTGCGCGTCGCACGTGGCGCCCGTCCACTGCGCGCAAGCAGGCGTGCTGGCGCCATTGCCAGGCCACGCCTTCCACAAGCGGTTTAGCGCTACCAGCGCTCTCACTGCACGCCGCGTGACGGCCAAGGTCCATGGAGAGGCGAAAGAATATCAATGCAAAAGGAAAGGGGTAGAAGAGAAGAAACGTTGTGTTTGCGAGCACGCCTGATTGTTTCCGGAGTAACAGACGACGCCGATTGCCAATTGAGACACGATCACGCTTGGTGGATGAGAGACGCTACAAGCGAGCACGCGCTGCTGGATTGTCTCACTGACGCTGCGAGGGAGCCAGATGGATGTCTGCTGTGCTGGTAGAGGAACCGACGGAACTGACACCCGACACGTGGCTCCATGATGCTTGCACACTGTTCGTCGATTCCTCGTCCGTCTTTCGCGG